ATGCGCAACTGGTGGGCCTTAGCATATTTTCATCACCTCCAAAGGAAAGCCTCATTTCCTCTGGCTCCCTCTACCACCCTCCCCCAGCCCTGAACCTGCAGCCTACACCTTCCCTGCCATGGTCCCGCCATCTTCCTCTGGCCTCTACCCATTTCTCTAGGGTTCCAACCTGAGCCTGAGGTTTCCACAGCTGTGTCCACAAGAACCATGAGAAGGCAGAGATGGAGCAACGCAAGTCTAACTCCTCAGAGAACTTCGTTCAAATACCGGCCATACTATCAGCAAAGCAGGGATGATTTCTACCACACACTTGATTCCACATGTTGCCACTAGGGGGAGCCAGGGGCAAGGCAAAAGTGTGCCGACCCCCCTCGGGTATCTCCTAGGATCTATACTTAACCAGCAGATGTGAAAGATGCCATCAAGGGCAAGTGATGTGCCACAGAGCTACCACTGCAGCTACGGATTTTGATGCCTAGGAAAGGGCATATCTCCTGGCCCTTATCAGATTCCCAGCTGCACTGGACAGAACAGCATGTGTGCACACATGTGGAAACAGGGTCTTTGCTGATATGATTAGTTGAGGACATTGCGCTATTAAGGCAGGCCCTATATCTAACGACTGAGATCCTAAGAAGAGAGGAAGGAAGGAGGCCTGGTGACCACACTGGCAGAGTGACACGCCTAGAGGTTAGAGATTGCTGGGAGCTGCCAGAAATCGGAAGAGTCAAGGAAGGATCCTGCCCTAGAGCTTTTGGGAGGAACACTGTCCCACAGAATCTTGTACTTTGGACTTCCAGCCTGGTGAGAGAATACAATCCTGAGGTTCCAAGCTTTGCAGAGGTACTGCATTTCTAGTGGGAAAATATGAGCACAGGCTGTTTTGTTTTTGAGATAGAGTCTCACTGTGTAGCCCAGGCTGTCCTGGAACTCAGGCTCTTCCTGCCTCAGCCTTCCAAGTGCCCGGATTGCAGACAGGTACCACCATACCAGGTTGCACACCAGCCTTTCATGAACCTAAATTCTGTGTCGCCTGCACACTGTGGATCTGAGAAACCAATTTGTGCCTCATGGGATCAATGGCCCGTCCTGGGGGTGCTGTATGAGTGCTGGCCTTTGGGGGGAATGGACACCCCCTTGACTGGGAGCCCGACCCAGCCTCTGTCATTCCCTCACTTAGTTACAAGAGGGCCTAAGTTCATGTCTACCTGAAATTGTAGCCAGGGGACACGTTGTGCTCCACATCGCGGGTGTCGAGGCGCCGGAAGGAGTACCTGGGCAGGCAGAGGGAGGCGGCTCTGTCCAGGTTGCAGTTCCACTTGATCTGGATGCCCATGATCCCCCCCTGTGGGAGGCAGTGGAGACAGCCACACCGGGCTTTCGTCAGAGCCTGCTCTGCTCTGAGGTATGTCCAGAATCGTGTGAAAAAAAGCCAGGCCTGTACCTACCTCCTCCGCCATGTCCTGGAAGCTGTGCCCTGCGTCCTCCACTATTTTGCCAAGACGGAATATGGGGCAGAAGGGATCCGTCTGGGCGTCATAAATGCACGATTTGAGGTAGGAGGTGGTGATGTTGGGAAGGATATTCCTCCTAAACCCAGGAAGAAGAAAATCAGAGTGAGGAAAACCTCAGAGGAGAGCTGTAAGGAGTTGGGTGCTGGTGGCTCACGCCTGTAATCCCAGCTACCCATTAGGCTGAGATCTGAGGATAAAGGTTACAAGCCAGGCAGAAAAATCCATGAAACAAGATCTTATCTCCAATAACCACCAAAAAACTAGAAGTGAATCTATGGCTTAAGTAGTAGAGCACCAGCCTTAAGCAAAAAAGCTTAGGGACAGCACCCAGTCTCTGAGTTCAAGCCCCAGTACTGAAACACACACACATTTCCCCGCCCCTCCCCCCCACACACACACAAAGAAGAAAGCCAGAAGCTTCTCCAAGACACAGACTACCACAGCCAAGGAACACTCACTTGCTAAAGTTGAACTTCGGATACCAAATGTTGTTCTTCACCAAGAGTGTGAAGTTCTCTGCACCCTTTAAAAAAGCAGGCCTGCAAAAACAAATGTGTATGATATTGTCACTAATGTACATATATCTACTTATCATGTACATACATGTATTCTATTTTATAAGAAGGTAGCATTTCTTTTATGTTGTTCGTAGGGCTTGAACTCGGCCTGGACACTGTCCCTGAGGTCTTCAGCTCAAGGCGAGCACTCTACCACTTGAGCCATAGCACCACTTCTGGTTTTCTGGTGGTTTATTAGAGATAAGAGTCTCACAGATTTTCCTGTCCGGGCTGGCTTTGAACTGGGTTCTTCAGATCTCAGCCTCCTGAGTAGCTAGGATTACACCAGCACTCAGCAGAAGGTAGCATTTCTAAAACATAAGCTTTGCAATGTCACTTTGTCAAGAAGGAAGGGTAGAGGTATTTTTGGCACCTCCTTTCTTCTGCATAAATATTAGGTCAGGAGCAGAGAGTAGATCAGCCTGCCCGGCTGTTCCTCTCAAAGGGCCGGGCCTTCTTGCCCATGGCAGTGAGCAGTGGGAACTCCGAAGCCGTGCAGAGGAGGGCGCTGACTTGCGCCCGCAAGACTTCAGCCTTGCTCACTGCAGGTGCTGTCTGACCGATCTGGTTTGACAAGTCAAAGCAAAGGTGGCTTTGCCTGCATCCGGGTCTCAGTGGCAAAGTACACATAGCATTTGCCAGCTGGCAGGCAAGCTGCCCCATGTCACAGGTGCCACATCAGCTCCCGGCAGACAGGACGGCTGAACTGGTCCACAAGGTGGATTTTTCCCTGTGAGAGAACCTGGCGTTCAGAGTGACGTCACTGGTCTGCCCCAGGAGCAAGGCCAGGAGAGGGCCACGCAGCGAGATGATGAGAGGTGACGGCTTGGGCCGGGCAGAGGCCCAGAGCCAAGGCCCCACGCCCTCCTAGAGAGGGCAGGGCTACCGCAGGGGCCTTCAGGCCTGCCATTTTGTCAAGTTTCTGGTGTACTTCAGCAGCTCTGTTCCCAGGGTACACCCCATGCGCACCCCTTTTATTTTCTATTTATTTTTTGGGGGGGGGGTCCGGTCATGGGGCCTGAACTCTGGGCCTGGGCGCTGTCCCTCAGCTCTTCAGCTCAAGACGAGCGCTCTACCACTTGAGCCACAGCGCCACTTCTGGCTTTTTTTCTTTTTGCTTATGTGGTGCTGGGGAATCAAACCCAGGGCCTCATGCACGCAAGGCAAGCGCTCTACCACTGAGCCACCTTCCCAGTCCCACGCACCTCTTTTAAGACCAGATTTGTTGTTTCTAATCCACATGTCATAAAATGAGCCATGTAGAAACCAACCAGTTCTGTGGCATTTGATGAGTTCGTCTGCAGTGAGGCGCAATTGACACCTCTAATTCCCCCAGAAGAAACTGCAAGTGGGGCACACAGTCCCCCACGGGCCCAGGCTGGCCTCCAACTCACGGGCTTCCTGATCAGCTTCCAGGCCCCAGGTCCAAGGGAGGCTGAGGCCGGAAGACTGTGGTTCTAGGCCAGCCAGAATTACACAGTCAGCACTGTCACCTCCCCCGAGGCTGGGAACAAGGTCAGGCAGCCCCGCAAGTCCGGGCTGGGCCTCACCGGGGCACACGTGTGTCGTCCTCTACAGGGCACCAGGCCGCCACCTCACAGGTCTTCACGGACACGTTGAATGGCACGCATCTGCCAGTCTCCACTCCTGTGGGGGGCAGGGGAATGGCTCCATGTGTCTGGGGGTCTCCATGTCCTCCCTTTGTGGGGTGGAATGAGAACCCTGTTTCCACCCCAAACCCCTGGGGGACCAATTTGGAGCAAGTTCAATGCTGGGGCGACAGAACTGGCACACAAATGCCACCTGAGTGCTGGCCACGCTGCCAGCAGGGCCAACGTGATAGCCAGTGACAGAACGGGACAGGCACATGGCATGGCTGGCTTCTGGGGCCCCCACAGCACAGGTCCCCAACAGGGCCTGGTGTCCCAGGTACATTAGCCTCACCCGGGGCTATGGCTATTTTTTTTTAATGTCAGGGATGGAACCTAGAACCTCACCCACGCCTGCGCTCTGCTACAGCGCAACATCCCCCAAATTACTGTGGGCGGGGGGGGGGGGGGGGGCGGGGAGGCTCTTTATGCTAGCAATTTCCACAGAGATTCTCCTGGGGCAGCGGCTTTCTGGGAGCCACTGTGGGGCAAGGAGGGAGGCGGGACTGGGGGGAGGGCATCAGCGTCCCCGGAACTCGGCCCCGCTCACTCCTACCATTGCTGTGGGTGCCCGCAGAGCCGGCTCTGCAGTCGGTGTCCGAATCACACAAGGTGGTCTTATCAGGGATCTGGAGGGAGAATGGGTGGGAACACGATCTGTGTGGTCCAGCTGGCCATGTGGACCGTGGTGGGCCTGAGGTGCTTTGCCAAAAAGCCACCTACTTCGGGACAGGTGCTCTGGGTCTGGTTTGTGGTGATGATCATATTGGTCATGACAAACAGAGAGTCTTCCTCCTGTAGAGAGAACAGAGAGCACTACCCAGTTACCTGCTTGTTAACCAGCAAAAAGCCAAGGCCGGGATATGGTTCAAGTGGCACAGGGCCAGTCCTGAGCAGAAAAAGCTGAGAGCACCACACGGCCCCACAAAAAAAATCTGGAAACTCCCAGCAGTTGATGCTCCTAAGACAAACAGAGCCAGCTTGGGAGCCACAGTGGAGATCAGGTGACTAGACACACCCACCCCTAGTCTGACAAGGTGGAAGCTTCTAGGCATTTGTTCTAGGTAAAGAAAGGCCTAGAACAAATGTTGTCAGGGACAGGCAATGGCTCTGGTGGGAAGGTGGGAGGGCCGTCACTCACGGGCCCACGCCTCTTCGCTGGTATCTGGGAGTCTGCTCCTAAGCCTCTCAAGACGTGGTCTCTTTCATTTCAAATGTAGGGAGCCAAGTAGATGCACTGATCGCACCCCACACAGAGAGGCACAGAGAAACGAGCCGGCGGAGAGCCGCAGGTGGTGACCACACTGCCCATCTGGGAGGTGGAAGGCAGGGCCGTGGGGCAGCCAGCCTCCAACCTTCCCCGGCTTCCACAGCCCCCCAGCAGACCGGGACGGAGCTGGCTTTTCAGAAAGCCCAGACGAGCCTGCCAGCAAGGCCACCGGCCAATCTCCTGATCCATTCGACCTAGAAGCTTCTCTGTGGGTCCCTCACGTGAGGAGACTGGGGCTGGTGAGTACACTCAGAGCGCGTGGACACCTTGCCTGCCTTCTCCCGGCTCTGAGCCAGGAGCTGGCAGCCGCCCTGGTCACTGCTGCCCTCTGGAGGGGCATATCACGTTAGGCCATGTGTCAGTGTTTAATTTGTAACTGTGGGCTGGGGATACAGTACTGGGGTGCTTGCCTAGAAGGTGCAAGGCCCTGGCTTCCATCCCCAACACACACACACACACACACACACACACACACACACACACACACATACACACACACTCCCCCCAAAACAAAAACTACCTCAGGATATTAACTTGCAACCTTCTCCATCCCTTTAATAAAGGGATTCTACACTGTTTTCTCTGGGTCTGGTCCTAGGCTGGCATTGCTGTTGAACTTGTTTCATTCTCTGACAGGATTTGCTGTATGGGTGTATGATAATAATACAAATACAAAATGTGGGAAGGTGCTATTTCTCCCTAATTTTTCCCCCCTAGGATTTAAGACATTTTCTTACTTTGCTTTCAGGGTTTAAGACAAGCAATGATGTCCTTATTAAAAAAAAAAAAAAAAAAAACAAGGAGCCAGTAAGTCACGCCTATAATCCTAGCTACTCAGGAGGCTGAGATCTGAGGATCACAGTTCAAAGTCTGCCTAGGCAGGAAAGTCTATGAGACTCTTGATCTCCAATTAACCACCAGAAAACTGGAAGTAGAGCCGAGGCTCAAAGTGGTAGAGCACTAGCCTTAAGCAGAAAAGCTCAGGGACAGCACCCAGGCTCAGAGTTTTAGCCCCACAACCAATAACACAAACAAACCAAAAATCATGGTCTCAGGCTAAAAGCACCTAGTTTTCAAGCTGCCTGCTGGACTGGAAGCCCCAAACCATCAACCTGGGCATCAGACATGTTAGAGCTTCACGTGTACATTCAGTAAAGAACATGCACACCAGCGGTGGCAGGGAGGTACCTGAGGGGGGATCACATAGTCAGCCACATCCCAAATCCGGAAGCCGAGGTTCGAAGAGTTGGTCACAGCCACTCCTTTGGCCTTGGTAGTAACTGAGCTGACCACAGAGTCCATTTCCTGGTAGCCCTTTTCCCATACAAACACCCACCTATAAAAGAAAACAGTGCCATTAGGATTCAGAGACTCTGAACTGATGCCAGGAGCCTCTGTAGCCAGAGAGGCTGGAAGAAGGAAGTTTACTAATTATGTGACTTTGCAAAGTGGCTTTGCTTCTAGAGACCACATTTCCCCTTCTACAACCAGGGACTTGTAGTGTAAAGCCAGCAGGGCAGGAAAGCCCCATGAGATTCTTATGTCCAATGAGCTACCAGAAAACTGGAAGTAGCCCTGTGGCTCAAAGTGGTAAAGCACTAGCCTTAAGCAAAGAAAAAATAATAAAAACAACCCACTGGGAACAGCATCTAAGCCCTGAGAGTTCATGCCCCAGGACTGCACACAGCAGTCAGAACACAGGAGATAAATTCATAAATTCTCAATAAATGTTATCTTGTGTGTTCGTGTGTGTGTGTGTGTGTGTGTGTGTGTGTGTGTGTGTGCGCGTGCGCGCGCGTACACACACATACACACACAAGGGTATTAGGACTTGAACTCAGAGCTCTGCACTCTCCTTAGCTTTTCATTCAAGCTGTCACTCTAACACGTGAGCCACAGCTCCACCTCCAACTTTTTACTCATTACTTAGAGATAAGAATCTCTGGTTAAGCTGAACACCAGTGGCTCAGGACTGTAATCCTAGCTACTCAGGAGGCTGAGATCTGAGGATTACGGTTCAAAGCCAGCCTGGGTAGGAAACTCTATGAGACTCTTATCTCCAATAAACCACTAGAAAACCGGAAGTGGTACTGTGGCTCAAATGCTAGGGCGCTCGCCTTGAGCTGAAGAGCTGAAGGACAGCATCCATGCCCAGAGTTCAAGCCCCACGATCAACCAAAAAAAAAAAATCTCTGGTTGTCTGGTTGTGTGGGGTGGGGGGACAGGTATGTTGGAGGGGGAGGGAAAAACTAGGAGAAAAACAAAGGGAGTGGTGACACTGTTCAAAAAGAAATGTACTTATTACCTGACTTCTGTAACTGTAACTCTGTATCTCCTCTCCAATAACAATTTAAAAATGTTAAAAAAAAAAAAAAAGGGGGGGGGGCTGGGAAGGTGGCTCAGTGGTAGAGCGCTTGCCTTGCATGCCTGAGGCCATGGGTTCCATTCCTCAGCACCACATAAGCAAAAAGAAAAAAGCCGGAAGTGGCCCTGTGGCTCAAGTGGTAGAGCGCTAGCCTTGAGCTGAAGAGCTGAGGGACAGCGCCCAGGCCCAGAGTTCAGGCCCCATGACCAGACCAAAAAAAAAATTTTTTTTTAAATGTCAAAAAATTTTTTTTAATGAAACTCTGGGATTTGTCTGCCTGGGCTGGCTTCAACCCACAATCGTCAGATCTCTGCCTCCTGAATAGTTAGGATTACAGGCATGAGCCACAGTCTTAAAGCACTTTCTACAGTGTCTTATTTTTTCCCCCAGGAATTCAGCTTCCTGTATGCTCCTCTCTTCTGTTTTTTTTTTTTGGTCGGTCGTGGGGCTTGAACTCTGGGCCTGGGCGCTGTCCCTCAGCTCTTCAGCTCAAGGCGAGCACTCTACCACTTGAGCTATAGCGCCACTTCCGGTTTTGTGGTGGTTTATTGGAGATAGGAGTCTCTTGTTCTCTCCTGCCCGGGCTGGCTTTGAACCGCGATCCTCAGATCTCAGCCTCCTGAGTAGCTAGGATTACAGGCGTGAGCCACCAGCGCCCGGCTGCTCCTCTCTTCTGAAGAGCAGGTGTTAGTACTGGTGAGGATGCCTGGGAGGCTCAAGGTGTTGGCGCAGAGGCTAGGACATGCGAGCACAGACTGGAGCCATGTCTCACAGCTCAGCTCCCGACTCATGAGCCCTAATCTTGGGCCAAGTGGCTCAACTGACCTGGGCCTCTGTTTTTCCCATCTGAGAGATGGCAATAAGACAGACGCTTGAGGATTGTTGGGAGGTTAAATGAGGTAATGTGTGCCAAATGTTTAGAACAACGTTTGTACAGTACAGCAATCAGAATCCTTCCCCGGTTGAGCTGCTGTGCACCAGGTACCAGAGGCTATTACACAGTTGTTTCTAAAGGTAAGAAAATGCAGGAGATGTGGCTCAAATAGCAGAGCACCAGCCATGAATGCAAAGAAGTCAAGCGAGAGTTATGGTCCTGAGGCTCAAGGTCCACTACTGGCACATGTACAAAAAAAAAAAAAAATCTCGTAAGGCATAGATGCTAAGAGCAGCAATTCACTGGCTTGGGTTACTCATTTGTGCGCTGTTGGCTCTCAGCAGTCCCTGGAGTCCCTGCTGGGCCTCGGCTTGGGCCTTTTCCTTGATGAGCTCTTCTTCTGGACTTCTAAGAATGCATCTGCGGGAGTTTCCATCTTCCAGTTGGACACAGAGACCCTTAGCACAGGAAGGCCACTATTGTTTTACCACCAAATACTGGGAGTTGCTAAATTAGAGACAGTTTCACAATCATCACTATCATGTGATTAGCTATTTCATTATCATGTGACTAACAGGATTTGATAACTGGAAATCTAGAAGGTCTGTCTTGGAGAAAGGGTTGCTCTATGGGAGAATAGACCACAACTCTGCTAAGTTTCATTAGATCAGAAAGTTAAGAAAGCACACACACACACACACACACACACACACACACAATCCCTTGGGTCTAGAAAGCTATCAGTGCGAAGCATTACTGCTTTTCAAAATCCTTACTCCTCTAAATCCAGTGTGCACCTTACAGTTCCAGTTCCGAAGCATTTCAATCTGGAGTATTAGAGTTCAATAGGTACTTGTGCCTACCGTTATCCTAATGTCCAACACAGCTAGGGATACTTTCTGCAGCCCAGACTTTTCCAGGTGGATGTGAATTAATCCTCTCATGAGAACAAAAGCCAAGAAGAGTTCAGCCCTGTGCCTGTGGCTCACCCCTGTAATTCTAGCTACTCAGGAGGATGAAATCTGAGGATCGTGGTTCAAAGCCAGCCTGGGTAGGAAAGTCCATGACTCTTATCCAATTAACCACCAGAAAACTGGAAGTGGCATTGTGGCTCAAGTGGTAGAGCACTCTTCTCCTTGAGCTGAAGAGCTTAGGGACAGTGCCCAGGCCCAGAGTTCAATCCCCATGACTGACCAAAAAACAAACAAAACAAATCAAAAACAAAACGCCTGGGCAGGAAGGTTTATGAGACTCTGATCTCCAATTAATTGCCCAAAAGCTGGAAGTGGAACTGTGACTCCATGTGGTAGAGCACCAGCATACTCAGGCCTCGAGTTCAAGTCTCAGTACCAGCCACTCGCTGCTCCTCCCCTGCCTCCCCCCCCCCCAAAAAAAAAGGCAAGAGCTAAAGCTGTATGAGATTTGCTGTCAATGCTTATGTTCCTCCAGGAACGAGAGTTCATTTACCAGCTGAGTCTTTATTTGGAGGGCGCATCACCATCTACAGCTGTGGAGTGGGGAACTACCAGAACACCGAGTTCCATCTTGGATAGAGGTCAGATGGGTATGATGTCAGCTCCATACCTGATGCTTGGCTGAACTGTTGGGTTCTGGAGTTCAAACCCAGGGTCTCAAGCACACAAGCACACTTTATCTCTCACTAGGTCCTCAGCCAAATGTCTCAAGTACTCTCAGCATGCAATGCAGCCGGGACAGACGTGAGCAGCCAGACCAGCTCCTTCCTGTGTATTCCCTTGGGGAGTGTGAGCAGATTCCAAGATCACCCCACCCCAAGATCAGGATCTATTAAACGGTTTCTGGATGAATTGTTCACGATCAATGTGTAAACCCCTAGGGGATGGGCTCCCCAATTCTGCTAACATCAGAACCACCCCAGGAGCTGACAGACTCAGGTCTGAGGCTGGGAGCCTGCGGTATTTTTCTGGTTCCCAAGTGGCTTCAGTGTGCAGTCAATGTGGGACCTTTCCCTCCCCACAGAAGCAGATACATCTCAACTCAGCAGCTTGCAGACACAGGAACACCTCAGGTGAACCTGAGATGAGGATCAACTGGCAAGGCCACTGTCCCTCCCTCTCCTGGGCGGCGCAGGTGGTTGCAGTGCATTCAAGGAACGTGGCGGAGGGAAGCCGAGGGCGCGGGTGTGCGGCGCCCACACCCCCAGCGGGAAGCAGAGGGAAGCAGCAGGCTAAAGCAGCCACTCCGCAAGTGAAGGGGCTCAGGCCACGTCTGCGAAGGGTGCCTTCGCTACCCTGGGCTATCTCAGAGGAAAGAACCGGCGTGGAATGCGAAGCCTGGGCCGTCAGATCGTCAGAAGAGCAAAGACGGACACCACAGCATGGCTGAGCCGGACAGGTGAGTGAGGTCGGCCTGGCCAGGCTTTCCTTAAAAACACCACGTGGGACAATGCGGCCGGCCTGACCCCAGGCCCCTGGACCACAAGCCCCCTGCAGGGCGAGTCACCAACCTGGAGCCGCCACCCACTGCACTACACGTGAGGCCCGGCCGCGGGGTCACACGGTGGCCCGGGCCTAGGAGCAGGTGCGCAGGCGCGGCCTTCCGAGCACACACCCCCCCCCCCAGCCGGGCCCGCCCCTCCCCGATGACGTCACCAGGTGCGCGGGTCCGGCCGTCCACGCACCCTGAGCCGAGCCCCCTCCCACGCTGACGTAGGGCCGGACGAGCAGGTGCGCAGGCGCGGCGGCCCGCGCGCCCCCTCCCCGCCTGCCCCCACCCCCATCCCCGCGCGCGGCCGCCTCACCCGATGACGTAGGCCAGGATGAGCAGCTGCACGGCGCGGTTCATGAGCCCTACTTTACGGCTGCGGATGAGCACGATGCGCGGCGTGTCGTACTCGAACAGGAAGCCCCGCAGCACGGCGCAGCAGCCCGCCATGGCCCCGCGCGCCGCTTCCCGCCGGGCCGCTGCCCCGTCGCCCCGCCGCCGCGCCGTCGCCGCCGGAGCCCCGCCCACCAGGCCCGGCCGCCCCGCCGCGCCGCCCCGGGGGAGGGCCCGGAAGGAGCTGCCGCGGCCTGGGGCCTCGTGACCCACCTCCGGAGCGCGGGCCTGGTGATGACCCCCCAAGGACTGAGGGGCACCCCCCCCCCCAGGGGCTCAGCAGACCTGAGGAAACCCGAGCCTCGCGAACCTCCCCCGCCAGACCCAAAACCTCAACGCGCCACCTTCGGGGTACCTCAGGTACCTCACCCACGCAAGCACCTTCGGGGTACCTCAGCCACGCGAGCACCTTCGGGGTACCTCACCCACAGGTGCACCTCCCGGGGTACCTCACCCACGCAAGCACCTTCGGGGTACCTCACCCACGCGAGCACCTCCCGGGGTACCTCACCCACGCGAGCACCTCCCGGGGTACCTCACCCACGCGAGCACCTCCCGGGGTACCTCAGCCACGCGAGCACCTCCCGGGGTACCTCACCCACGCGAGCACCATCCGGGGTACCTCACCCACGCGAGCATCTTCGGGGTACCTCACCCACGCGAGCACCTTCGGGGGTACCTCACCCACGCGAGCACCTTCGGGGTACCTCAGCCACGCGAGCACCTCCCGGGGTACCTCGCCCACAGGTGCACCTCCCGGGGTACCTCACCCACGCGAGCATCTTCGGGATACCTCACCCACGCGAGCATCTTCGGGGTACCTCACCCACGCGAGCACCATCCGGGGTACCTCACCCACGCGAGCATCTTCGGGGTACCTCACCCACGCGAGCACCTTCGGGGGTACCTCACCCATACGAACACCTTCTGGGGTACCTCACCCACATGAGCACCTTCGGGGGTACCTCACCCACGCGAGCACCATCCGGGGTACCTCACCCACGCGAGCATCTTCGGGGGTACCTCACCCACGCGAGCACCTTCGGGGGTACCTCACCCACGCGAGCACCGTCCGGGGTACCTCACCCACGCGAGCACCTCCCGGGGTACCTCACCCACGCAAGCACCTTCGGGGTACCTCATCCACATGAGCACCTTCGGGGTACCTCATCCACGCGAGCACCTTCGGGGGTACCTCACCCACGCGAGCACCTTCGGGGGTACCTCACCCATACGAACACCTTCTGGGGTACCTCACCCACATGAGCACCTTCCGGGGTACCTCATCCACACGAGCACCTTTTGGGGGTACCTCATCCACTTGAGCACCTTCGGGGGGTACCTCATCCACATGAGCACCTTCTGGGGGGTACCTCATCCACAAGAGTACCTTCTGGGGGTACATCATCCACACGAGCACCTTCCGGGGGTACTTCACCCACACATGCACCTTCGGGGGTACCTCACCCACGGGAGCACCTTGGGGGGGGGATACTTCGCAAACCGCAACACCGCAACACCGTGTTACCAAGGACTCTCCCTCATAATCACTTTTAATCTGTAGACCACTTCCAAACAATATACCACAGTTTCCCGGATGACTCTCATCTGGATAGTTTTTTATTCTTTTAGTGCTATTTAGATTTTCACATTGAGCTCCAGCCTCTCACACACTAAGCAGGTGCTCACCACTATGCTACACCCCACCCCTGACCAGATCTTAATCTGATCTACATATACATAAACTCATGTGTCCAGTGTACTGGTAGAGGGGCTCAGACTCTAGGCCTCAAGCTGTCACAGCCTGTGCTCTACCTCTTGAGCCACACCCCTAGATCAGCGTTTTTGCTTGTTAGGTGGAGATGGAGTTTCTCAGATTTCTCTCCCAGAGCTGTCTTCAGTCGTGATCCTCAGATCTCAGCCTCCTGAGTAGCCAGGATTACAGGCATGAGCACCAGCATCCAGAACATTGTACATTTTAAATGAACAAATTTTATGGCATGTGAATTATATTCCCATATTAAATAGTGTAAATAAGGCCTCACAAAGTAGGTACCAGAATGTAGGGGCCAAATCTCATGTTCTTCCTTACAGGGTAGCATCTTAGGCTCAGGCTCTCACAGAGCATGTTTAAAATGTTTATTTCAGATACAGTTCAAATAGTTTCTGTTATCTGGCTCTTTGTTCTCTGCAGGTGGCTAGAACTGAGTTGGGAGAGCAGTGATGCACTCAGAGAAGCCCAGAAGGAACGTCTGCAGAAACAAATATGAAACAGACCACAACAAGCTGCAGGGGTAAGGGATTCTATTCCTGGTTCACCTTGTCCTGGAGAGACACCCCTCCCAACCCCCCCCCCAACTATATATAAAACTGTATTTTAAAAATTTATTTTGTCAGTCATGGGGCTTGAACTCAAGGTCTGGGCACTCTCCCTGAGATCTTTTAACTCAAGGCTACCACACTACCACTTTGAGCCATAGCTCTACTTCCAGTTTTCTGGGTAAGAGTCTCACAGACTTTCCTGCATGGGCTGGCTTTGAACTGTGATCCTCAGATCTCAGCCTCCTGAGTAGCCAGGATTACAGGCATGAGCTACCAGCGCCTGGCACATTTACTTACTTATATTTGTGGTTAGGGTAAGTACATCTTGGGGCTTTTTGTGTGTACTGGGTAAATGCTTCACCACTGAGCTACATCAGCAGCCCTAAATGTCCTTTAAAACAAACAAACAATGAATTTAAGCTAGTAGCTTTCTGAAATTAGGAGATGACAAGTCACAGATATGCTGCTAAGATCCAGCAGATGAAGAATGTCATCAGTCATGTAGGCGATAAAACAAGCATTGGCATGAATGCAGAAAATTACAAGGGAGAGGCCCTGCCTTGAGCTAATACTAAGAACAGCAGTAAATAAACAATAGCTCCGACAAGAAGCACAGCCGAGAGCTTCCAGGGAGCCCCATGGGTCTGGGACCATTTAGTAAGAGACCAGGTGTGCCTTGGGGTGTCATTCAGCTATATAGCTGGGTGAGGCTGCCGTTTGTCTCAGTGGCCTTCAGCTACACAAAGCCAGAAAACAGAGATAATCATTTTTGTATCTTCAACAAAAAGATGTTGAAATATTTAGGCAGTTTAAGATATCATTTTTACTTACCTGGCACATACACCTGCAAAGCCTCCATGTATGATGTCAGAACACACGGATGTGGTAACTGTGTGTTTATGTAGACTCCCAGGAACAGATCCATCTCCTAAATGGAGAACAAGTTGGTAGCAAAAGCAGAGAACGTTTAAAAATCTCTTTCTTTCCCCATGACCTTCAAACTGAATCTGTCATGAAATAAAAATAAAATCCTTTCCCTTTTATTTATTTTCGTCAGTCATGGGATTTGAACTCAGGGCCTGGGCACTGTCTCTGTGCTCTTTTGCTCAAGACTAGTGCTCCACCACCTTGAGCCACAGCTCCACTTCTGGTTTTCTGGTGGTTCGTTGGAGGTAAGAGTCTCACAGACTGTCCTGCCTGGGCTGGCTTTGAACCCTGATCCTCAGATCTCAGCCTCCTGAGTAGCTAGGATTACAGGCATGAGCCACTGATGCCCAGCTCTGAATGAATATTTCAAGTCATTTTAAGCAACATTTTAAATTTAAAAATAACCTTAGTCACAGATGTCATATGTTTGACAAACTAAAAATAAAAAATACATCATTTTACATGATTTCATCCATATATATAAAAAAGTGCATGTCAGGAGGCATCTGCTGAGCATCATAAAGCTGCACCAATGCAACTTCAGGCAAAGGTGAACAAGAATTTGGTCAGCCTGGAACAGGCTGGAATATAGAGGGGCTAATCAGGGTGAAATGGTCATGCTCCCAGAAGCCTCAGAGGTATTCACTCTGAGCCAGGACACTGACAATAACACCCGAACACATACTCCCCCAACTCCCCCCACCGTCCCAGGACTCTACAAACTTCAAGCAAGATGGCAGCTAAGCATGGCTGAGTTACACTTGAACTAGATCTGCTAAGGAAAAGGGGCAAACAGCAGGGAGGCTTGTCCAGAAATGCCTTGAAAGCAGTTCTTACTGCTATCTCATCTTTCACAATTTCAGAAACCAAGTAACAAAGTATCTGCGGCCTGGCTTCTGTGAGGTTCATTATGAGAAGCCATGTTCTCCTCTTACCAACCCCACCCATTATTGGATTAGTAGCCAAGTGGGGACTTGCATGCCTTTGGCTCTAAAGGGCAGTGTCTTATTTGAAAACACCACAGGGTGATGCTTATTTTACAGTTGATTCAAAGGCCAGACTCATCAGTAGCTGATAAAAATGTTCTAGAAGTTTCCTTGCTTTCCCATTCCCCGAGCCTCCCTGCCTGCCCTCACAGTGGCTAAAGTGGTGGATATGATCAAAATGTATCATTATGTGTTTATGGAAAGAGATCCTCCTAGACCTGGCACAGTGAATATGTAGGAAAAATGTGAAAAAGGGGGCTGGAGGTATGGCTTAGCTTGTAGAGCGCCTGCCAGGAGCAAGTTCCAAGGTCAAGTCCCAGTCTCGGACCAAAAAAAGTGAAAAAAAGGTTGGTCACGGGCCTCCTCGGCCTCTAGAACTGCCAGTGTTTTCCTCACGCTTCGGCGTGTTCTCTCGGGGGTTTTTTGTTGTTGTTTTCCCCATGCTTCGGCGCATTCTCTTGGGTTTTTTTTTGTTTGTTTTTTAGTTCCCCTTCAGTGTAGCTGCTGAACAACAGTAGTTTTCTAAGTGGACGTTGGTCTTCTAACTTTGACGTTGGTCTGGTGCACGAGACACTGGGCACAGGCTCTGATAGCAAGAAGGGTGGTGAAGGGCAGTGCCTGTCCTCTCCCTTCCTTCCCTTTTTCTAATGTTTCCATTCCGTGATTTCCCCTCTCAGAGGAAAGTGAGTGGCACTGTGGAGTCACTTCCTTAGGGTCCAGAGTTGCCTGTTGTCCTGCCACAAGAACTCTTTGCAGTGTCATCTGCTAGCTCCCTCCCTGCCCTTCACCTCGTTGCTTAGTGCAGAACACCCTGTGCCTTCTGTTTGCCCAGAACTGCCATTTGGCTTAGGTTTGGGCCACAGTCTCTGAAGGCCTGCTTCCCTCAGCTCAGGGGGCTGGATTTATGCGGGATATGGCCCTATCTAAGTGACTGTCATTTCCATCAAAGTCCGTTTCATATGTGACTATTGGCTTAAATGCAGGTGGGCATTCTGGTGTAACTAGAATGGAAAAAAAAAGAAAGTACTCCTGAGACACATTATGTGTTGAAATAATTCTGTTCTTAGTCTGAATATAGCATTACAATGGAATACTGTGGGCTGGGTGCCGGTGGCTCGCAGTTGTAATCCTACTCAGGAGGCTGAGATCTGAGGGTCTCATTTTGAAGCGAGCCAGAAGAGGCAGGTGAACTGACATTGGAAGTGGAGGTATGGCCCTAAGTGGTAGAGCGCCAGTCTTGAGCACAAGAGCTTCCAGACTCCCTCTTCTCAAATGCTTTTTTGACTCTAATTTCATCCTGTCTCCTTCATTCTGACATTAACTCAGATCACTTCTTCTGAGCAGCCTCAGCCCTCCCTGCAGCCCCCAAGGCGCCACCTTCGCTTCTAGAACAGTCTGTCTCAGCTGTTTTGTTTTTTTTTTTAAGAACCAGTACATTCTATTTATTTTTTGAGGGGGGGTGGGTCCGGTCGTGGGGCCTGAACTCTGGGCCTGGGCGCTGTCCCTCAGCTCTTCAGCTCAAGGCCAACGCTCTACTGCTTGAGCCACAGCGCCACTTCCAGCTTTTTTCTTTCTGCTTATGTGGTGCTGAGGAATCGAACCCAGGGCTTCATGCATGCAAAGCAAGCGCTCTACCACTGAGCCACCTTCCCAGCCCCTCCATCTTTTTTGGGGGGGGTCCGGTCTTGAGGGCTGAACTCTGGGCCTGGGCACTGTCCCTCAGCTCTTCAGCTCAAGGCAAGCGCTCTACCACTGAGCCACCTTCCCAGCCCCTCACGTCCATCTTCTTACACCTCATGAGAGCAGCTGTTTACACCACTGACCTCCAGCAAGGGCCTTTATGATTATTGTTGAATGAATGGGAACATGAATGTGTTAGCTGTTATTTGGGAATCAATGAGAAGATTTAAATAAATGAATTGTGCATCAGTTCTCTTATTATCAAGCTAAGAATATCTACATTTTCAACCTAGAATTAGGGAGGTTTTGTCCAAAAATCATCCCCTTTTGAAAGACACAGGCAAGCCTATTATCAGTCTTACTTGAAGTCAGCTGGTCTGCCTTCCCACATGGATGGAGCCAGCCCTGTGAAGGCCATTACCATAATAGAAGAATTCATTTAGCTGTGAGAAAACAGATTTTGCAAAATGTGCCACTCATCGCCCACAGCAATGGCATTATTATAAGCATTAGACTTAAAAATAGGAACGTAAATCTGCCAAATGCAGGTAGCTCCTGCCTGTAATCCTAGCTATTCCAGAGGCTGAGTTCCAGGGCCAGAAATGGTTGCTAGAGTCTACCTAAATAACCAGCAGGAAGCAGGGCTGGAGTTAGGGCTCAACTTGTAAAGTGCCAGCCTAGCAAGCACAAGAGCCTGAGTTCAAATCCAAGTACTGCCCCCCAAAATGACAAAAATAATAATGCAGGTATGGTCTCTTGTTACTGGAGAAGTGTAGACCGACTTACACATTGGTAAGTGGTGCACGACCCTCTCCCCTGGAGCACCAGGGGCCAAAATGGAGCTGGAGATTATTTGTTATTCCCCAGTCTGATTCCACCATGAGCCCCAACAAGACCAGGGAAATACACAAGGGATCAAGCACCAAAATAAAGGCCCAAAGGCCACCAGAGGGGAAGCCTGGAGCCAACACCGCCCGGTGTTCCTGCGGCAAAAAATTCTGAAGACGATATGTCTCTGAAAAGGTGGCAAGAGGGGCTGGGATGGTGGCTCAGTGGTAGAGCTCTTGCCTTGCATGCATGAGGCCCTGGGTTCGATTCCTCAGCACCACAAGCAAAAAGAAAAAAAGCCGGAAGTGGCGCTGTGGCTCAAGTGGTAGAGCGCTAGCCTTGAGCTGAAGAGCTGAGGGACAGCACCCAAGCCCAGAGTTCAGGCCCCACGACCAGACCCCCCCCCCCCCAAAAAAAAAAAAAAGAAAAGGTAGTAAGAATGAAAATCCAACTGTTACCACGATTCCTGAGTTTAAAAGCAGATAAAATCCTGGGTCAAAAGACAGGTGTTTGGGATCTGTGCTTCTTGACACTGGTCTAGTAGAAAACTTTTGTCGGGATGATGTTGTTTTTAGACAGTATCAGAATGGCAAGCCCTGGCTGGAGCAACAGAGCACCTGCCCTGCGTTCCACCCCCAGGAACCCCCCAAAAAGGTCTCAGTGCGGATTTCTGCCCGGTGGTCTCTGGATTCTGTTCTTTTAAATTGCTGTCGTTTAGAAATGAACAGCCACAAGCAGTGACCACAAGAAAGCAATCCCGGCCCCGGCCGAGCCTGTTCTTTCCTGGTGTAGAAAGGCTGAGGGTTGAGGTGCGGGTAGATTCCGCCCCAGGCGAGGTCTGGCTGTGCAGCCCGCCAGCCTCCTGTGGCAGCGGGGTCGGTCCCTCCGGCCGTGAGGCCCGGGGCTGTTACCAGCCTTCCAGAGCCCAGCAGCTGGGAGGGGTCGGGGTGGAGGGGGGGGGTGTGGGCCGCCGGGCCGGTGCCGCGGCCTCGGGGCCCAGCCCGCACCGGGCCGGCCGGCCGCGGGGTCGGTGGAATATTCTGGGGCCTGGAACGACCCGGAGGCCGCGGGCCGCCGCGGGCCCCCGCGGGCTGGGTGGCCGGCGTGGGGAGGCCGGGCCGGCGCGGGCCCGCGGGCGCCGGTCAGCAGGGGCTCTGGAAGCCGCGGTAGCGCCCGTCGGCCCGCGGGAACTCGCGGCGGATGCGCCAGCGGCAGCAGCTGGGCAGGATGGCGAAGTCGGCCAGGTCGGCGCCGCCGAAGCGCCAGGCGGCGTAGCAGCGGTAGGCGCAGTGGCGCAGGCGGCGCGCGGCGGCGGCGGCGGCGGCGGGCGGCGCGGCGCCCAGCGGCTCGCGGAGCAGCAGCAGCAGCCGCAGGCGCCGCGGGCACAGCACGAGCGCGGCGAAGAGCGGCGAGGAGGTGATGCAGGGCCCGGGCGCGCGGCGGCAGCACAGCTCCTCCAGCGGCCGCCGGGGCTCGGGCAGCGCGGACGGCCGGCAGCGCCCGCAGCGGCACCAGCCGGGGCTCGGGCCGTCCGCGGGCTCCGGGGCCGGCGCGCCGCGCAGCGGCTGCAGCTCCTCGGCCTCGGCCTCGTCCGGCCCGGGCTGCGGGTCCGGGTCCAGGTCCGGGAGGGGCAGCGCGGACAGCGCCGTGAAGTCCGCCTCGGGTCTCTGCAAGGGCCAAGAGTCGCGGCGGTGAGCCGCGGCCACCCCGGCCCGCGAGGCTCGGCTCCCTCCCCTCCGAGAAGGCGGGGCGCGGTACTCACCGGGACCGGCCGGCCCTTGGCGTCCTGCAGGCTTTTCCCGAGCAGCTTCTGGTCCACCATTCGGATGTGAGGCTCGTCCACGAAGGACACGTACTTCAGCGTCTAGAGAGGGAGCGACATTGTGTCCACAGCCAGCTTACCCGTCCCTGCTGAAGCTAGCGCAACGCAATTCTACTTCCTGATTCAGTAGCTCCAGAAAGCCAGGGTACTGCAACTTAGACGGTTTATTGATTTGTTTTGGCTTCTGTGCCAGTCCTGGGGCTTGAACTCAGGGCCTGGGTCCTGTCTTTCAGCTATTTTGCTCAAGGCTAGCACTCCACCACTTGAGCCACAGCTCAAGTTAATTGGAGATGGGTCTCGTGGACTTTCCTGCGCAGGCTGGCTTCAAGCTGTGTTCCTCAGATCTCAGTCTCCTGCGTAGCTAGGATTACAGGTGTGAACCACAAACACCTGACTTAAATTGTCTATACGTTTGTTAAATTTCCTTCTATAATGGGCTATGAAATAGTGACTATTTTTAGTGGTAAAAATGAACTCCTTCCCCTTTTATTTTTTTGAGACAGAATCTTGGTATATAGCCAGTCTGACCTTGTATTTATAATCCTTCTGCCACTTCGAGTGCCAGGATTACAGGCATGTATAACTGCACCTAGTGTTTTGCTTTGTGGGGACCCCTTTTTAAACTATTTGACATATGTTAATATTATTCTGTTTGCTGTTTTCCTCCTCTCAGCTCATGAACCTATAACTTGGTGGTTATGCGCAAGGCCTTCCTGCCTATGTTAGAGTTACAGCTCTCCCACTTACTAGCTATATATATCGGAGCAAATCATTTAACCTCTTTGCGCCTCAGTTTCCTCACACCTAAAAAGAGATAGTAAGCACCCATCTGTAGGGTTGTTATGAAGATTCTGTGGGTTAATATGTACAAGCACTTAGGAGTGCTAGATAAGAATCTGCTGAAGGTCTGGGAAGGTGGCTCAGTGGTAGAGTGCTTGAGACCCTGGGTTCGATTCCTCAGCACCACATAAGCAGAAAAAGCCGAAGTGGTGCTGTGGCTCAAGTGATAGAGGGCTAGGTTTGAGCTGAAGAGCTGAGGGACAGCGCCCAGGCTCTGAATTTGGGGCCCCATGACAAAAAAAAAAATCTGCTGTTGTCACCTCTGTCACCTGTTTCCCCAGCGCCAGCCATTCCTTACCTTGGACTTACTGTGGTTTCTTTCACTATTTACCCAACGGACATGTGGGTAGATGCTGTCTCCCTAGTGAGGACAGTCATCTGTAACTGTTAATCACTGCAGTGTGTGTCTTACACACATGTCCTGCTTGGGTTCTCGCGGTGCCACTATGTGGGCAGCTATAAAGCAAAGCCCACCTGGGGCTTGAACTCAGGACCTGGGTTCTGTCCCTGAGCCTCTTTGTGCTCAAGGCTAGCACTGCACACTTGAGCCACAGTGCCACTTCTAGCTTTTTCTGAGTATTGGAGATAAGAGTCTCATGGACTTCCTTGGCTGGGCTGGCTTTGAACTGCGATTCTCAGATCTCAGCCTCCTGAGTAGCTGGGATGACAGGCGGGAGCCACCAGTGCCCAGCTTCAGCAGCATCATCCTCTTCTTTTTTTAATATCAAAATCGACACATTCTAGAGCATAAAAGTTTGTCTTCTCCACCTATTTTGCTTCTCTGTTTTTGTTTCTCTTCTCCCTTCGGACCAGAGGACTCATGGGAGAGATGAGGTCCCCAGGTCTGATTGGCTGCAGGCTAAAGGCATATTCCTCCCTGCCTCCACCCAGCAGCAGGATCTTGGGGAGCCTTGGTGCTCCATTCTCGCAGTATGCCTTACCGGGCTTGGTTCCACAATGAACTCGAACTTCTTCCTGTAGTAGTATTCGTTGACCATGCAGGGTTTGCAGCACTTGCAAGACGAATAAACGCAGGTCTGACAGAGGCTGTTTGAGTAGGTCTTGATGAGAAAGTCAATGAACACTGTGGCCTAGGGAAAACAGACAAGCACTGAGCTCCAGAAGCTTCTTTTTCCTCATTGTTTGAGATATTCTCACTATGCAGCTAGGCTGGCCTTGAATCTCACTCAATCCTCCCGCCTCTGTCCCCCAGGTGCTGGGATTATAGGCATGTGCTACCAGGACTGGCTGCCACTTCATCCCTTGAAACACGGGCTAGAGAATTCTCTTACCAGACCAAAGTAGGAGAGAGTGGATCCGATGTACACCACCAGCTGGATGATGTCAAATTTCCCTCCCTGCAAACAGAGTAGGAAAAGTGTTGCAGAGCAGAGCAATGCTGTGCTCTGACTGGCAGTTGTTGGTTCTAGAAGGGCGCAGAGCCCCGCACACCCACATGCTCGCTTACTGTCACAGAGACAGCGACCACTGTGCATCCCGCCTCTGCCTTCCAGAACGTTCCCAGAGAACACACACTAGAGGAGAGCCAGAGAAGGTCAAAGCTCACTCCTCCCCATGGCACCTCGTGCTCTTCTCCTCCATGACCTTTCCTTCCTTCCACGTGGCTCCATCACAGTGGCTCTCGGGCCACAACAACCCAATGTGATACAATCATGGGCAGCACCCCATGGAGACAGCACCCCAGTTTGCTCCTGAACCGTCTCTCATCTCAGTCTGGGCCCTCTCTTCTGGCTTCTGGGCCAGGACAGGGTTGGTTCAAGACCAGCCGCTGGGACTTAGCATGCCCCTGATCAATGGGACTGGTGTAGAGGGGGCTGCGGCTCAGAAGGAATTAAGCAGAGTCAGTAGCTTCTGCCTGAGGCCTGGGCTGGAACTTCTGGAGAATTCGCTTTACATGGAGGCTGCTCAGCTGGCAAGATGACAGAAGTGCACTGTCCTGTAGAGATGGCCAACCGGGACCAATGTGAAGACGGGGGACTAGTTCCCGATAACGTACCTTGGACATCTGGATCCAGCCTTATCTGAACCCCCAATGACCCCTGGACGCTTCAGTTATGTGAACAGCAACAACAAAAAAAAAACAGACACTTTTTTTCTCTAAGCCAATTTGAAGAGTTCTGTTATAAGCTATTTTGCAATGAGTTTCCGTCCTTCCTTCCCTTCCATTCCTTTTCCAATTCCATTCCTTACCTTTCCTCTCTATCAGAGTACTTTGTGTGTGTGTGTACCAGTACTGGGGCTTAAACTCAGGGCCTGGGTGCTGTCTCTCAGCTTTTTTTCTCAAGGCTGGTGCTCTACCACTTGAGCCCTAGCTCCATTTTCTTTCTTCTTTTTTCTTTTGTACCCAGGGCCTTGAGCTTTTTCCCTCAAGGCTAGCCTAGCACTCATCACTTGAGCCACGATTCCACTTCTTTTTTTTTTTTTTCCTGACCTGAGTAGGTAGGACTACAGGCGTAAGCCACTGGTGTCCAGCTTCTATAGGAATACTTTAAAGTTGACTATTAGAATTTTTTCTCCAATTGTTATCACAGACTTCTGATGGCCTGCTCATAGGCGGGACCCCCGAGGACATTTCTTCCTCCCCGCTTATCCCACAAGCGAGTCGCACAGGGCCAGACAGTGACCATGAGCCACACAGCAGTCAGGGCCCAGTTCCGGGATGGAGGTGCTGGCGCAGGACAGACTTACAGTGCCGAAAACCAGGATGTCAAAACGGATCCCGAAGACTTTGATCAGAGTCCGATATTCCACATTGTTTTCCCTGTAGTACTTGGCAAATCTGCAGGAGGAAGAAGATCTGTAGATCCCACAGTCTCCACAAGCACTAGCATTTTAGAGAGCAGAAACCAAGCTGGTAGCTGCCCCACCTGCCTTCTGCCCCCACTGTGCTTACCAGAGAGAAGAACGGGACCCGCGGTGGCCACCCAGAGCCCGGGCACCTCCTCCGCCATCAGCACAGGCGGCACGAAACTGCCTTCAGTGTCAGGTTACAATGAACAACTTTGAACCAATATGGGATTCACAATAAGCAGAGGAATTTAAAGAAATGATAACTTCAAACAATGATTGTTCCTAATGGAGGAAGCATAGGCTTGGCTTCCAGAACAAAACAGCCAAAGAGGGCAAATCTGTCCTAAGCACTGGACAGTGCACCTCCACCATATGCCCTTTGGGTAGAGCCAGAGCCAGACAAGGGGAGACTACCCCAGTAATCCTAGTCAAACTAGCCAGCCCTAAGCTGGCTCCACAGCCCACCTGCCTTTCCTAGTGGGATGGCAGGGACATTTCTAGGCCTCATTCTCCCTTCGTTTCTGCCTCCTGACCATGCCTATCTTCCCCTCTTGAGATACATATGAAATAAATCCTTTTAATGGTGTGGATCCACCCGTGCCATCACTCAGCCGCCTTCCTCAACTGCAGCCTGACACAAGCCTCAGCCACTCCACATGCGCTATGGTCAAGAAAAATCTTGCTGGGTGCCAGTGGCTCACGCCTGTAATCCTTGCTACTCAGGAGGCTGAGATCTAAGGATCACGGTTCAAAGCCAGCCTGGGCAGGAAACTCTGTGAGACTCTTATCTCCAATAAACCACTAGAAAACCAGAAGTGGCATTGTGGCTCAAGCGGTAGAGCGCTGGCCTTGAGCTGAAGAGCTCAGGGAAAGTGCCCAAGCCCAGAGTTCAAGCCCCATGACTGACAAAAAAAACCAAAAACCACATCCTTACCAAACTCCCCTCATTCCTCCCCTCATCACCTCCCGCTGGTGGCTTTAAGATAAGCTTATTTGTTTTCTTTCAGAGTTATTCACAACCTATTTATATGTGTTGGGAGAAAAGAACACAGAAGACACATGCTCTGCCAAAACAGAGCACCTGAGAGTTCTTGTGAAATCTAAACTCCAGGCTGATGGCAGGTGGATATTCTCTGCCTTGGGCGGTCAGTCTCCCTGGAGAGGTTTCAACACCTTTTGTGTGTGGTGCTTCTACCTTCTGCTCCACTGAGGGATCTGGATCTTCCATATACAAGCAAGGGTGCCTGGCCCCTCCACACCGGGCTTGGCCTGCCCAGGATGGCCACATTTGTAAGGACTCAAGTTTCTGCTTCTAGAGTCTTGTTGCAGCAGCTGAGGGCAAGAATCACTTGGGAGAATGTGTTCAAGAGGCAGGCTCTTGGCTCCGAACCTCACAGACTGGTTCCAGAAGGCTTGAGATGTTTCCAGAGACCTGTATCTCTGCTCTTATCAGTGGGCCACACTCAAGGAATGCTGCTTCCTTGACAATGTTGCTTTTTTGCCCACTGTAATGGGTTCACTCGTGATTCCCACGGCAGATAGTTATGTCTAAGTACCTAGCACCCCAGGGCCTACAAATGTGACCTTGCTTGAGAATTCACAATTTAAAAATGCAGTTAAGGATCTCAAGATGAAGATTATCCTGGATATAGAGTGGTCCTGAATCCAATGACTGGCATTGTTATAAGAGAAAGAAGATGGAAACTGAAGGAAAAAAAAGACAAAGGAGAAGGCCTGTGGAGAGGGAGGCAGAGACTGGAATGATTTAGCCACAAGTCCAGGATGCCTAGAACCACCAGAATTGAGAGCCTTTGGAGAAGGCATGGCCCTGCTGAACATCATTCCATACTTCTGCCCTCTGTGAGTGGCAAAAAACATGTCTGTGGTTTTACACCACCAAATTTGGGGCAAGTTGTTAAAGAGCAGCCACCAGAAACTAATACTTACACTTGTGCTGGAACTGAGAAATGTCTGGTGCACTCTGTGTAGGCCTATCCTACCTTACGCTTGATGTAAACTACAGACTTAACGTGTTAACTGCGTGAGGACATGTGAACTTCTCCAACTTCTGTGTTTTTAAAATACCACCTTTTCTCATACCTCATATAACCTGCCATTTCCTTCTCTTTTGTGTGGCTATTTGAAAATACTGTGTCTGCTTACCCATCAGATCAGGATTTATTTTTGGCCAAAGATTTCTTCTTTCCAGACAACAGATGCACAGATGCTTTATTCTAAAAGCATCTCAATGTCACAGCCTCCCCCCGCCCTTCCCCCCCCCCTCCCCCCCCCCCCCCCCCCCCCCCCCCCGTCTTGAGAAAGCTCACATCCCACCAGGAAGCCCATGTTCTTAGACTCCAAGGACTTGTGCTGTCATCTGATTGGTTCTTTGCCCTGCTCACTTCTGCTGAGGTAGCAAGCATCCGGTCCTCTGTTCTTACTAATGGCCACAAGCCCATTCAGCAAAGCAGGAGGGGAGCGTCAAGAAGTTACCTAGCCTAGGAACAGCTTCATCAACACAGGATGCAGAAAGCCTCCGCCACCCTTGGTGTCAAGGCTCTCAAACGGGGCCATGAAGATAAAAGACGGGAATAGCGGATCAGCTAGAAGGCGTTTAGGAGCAGGGGACAGAGACCAAGCTAAAGTGCTTGTCCTTTCTCCAGAGGACTGTGGAATCTCAGCACTGGCCACCAGCTGCCCCATGGAATATCGACCCAGGATTGTTTACCTGTTCATTTTCCCCCAATAGTTGTTTTGGGGTGGGTTTGGTTTTTATTTTTTTTATTTTTTGAGAAAAGCAGAAGTTCAGATTTTTATATAGGCTTTCTCGAGTTCATATAAAGCAGCGTGATGGCTTGAATAAACCCTTCAGGAGCCATTGAGAATGCTAGTGGGGGGTGGGCTGGGAAGGTGGGAGAATGTGTGCTTTCAGCACATTGAGCCCCTGGTTGTAGAGACGACATATAGTCAGGTGAAGCAGGCAGGAAGGGGGCAGCCTGGGGCTGCCAGGAGGTGCTGCGTCCGTCAGCACTTCTCAAATGAGTAGGTCATGTTCATACACAGTGTTTTGCTGAGTTGTGGGGAGGGGCTGCGGTCCTGCTTTGTGACAAGCTCCTAGGGGGCCCGGGTCTGCTTCTTGGACCACACGAGGTCCATCTCCAGCAGTAGTTGGCAAACTCGAGTGAGCAGTAGGCCCACTGGGCCCCAGCCCTGAACTGTCTGATCCAGTAGATGGGAGGTGAGGGGGCCTGGGAACATGCGGTCCAAGCCCCCGTGTGGCGGCTAGACTAGACTATGCATACAGAAGGGATTGAAGGGATTCCCAGATCTTAAAATGGTTTCCAAGTTGCTTCCTGAGCATGCATGGCTCCTTTCCTGTCACTTCCTGCCCCGCCCAGCCTGGCAATCTACAGCACAGATGAGTTTGCTGGGTCTGGAGCGTGACTCACAGAGTGCACCCCCATTCAGGTCTGGCTTCTCCCGCCTCAGTGTGGTGCCTGTGGAGCTGCTGACCTCCTGTGACAGTGTCAGTCATTGGCTTCTTTTTTAAATCTATACTAGCTAGCCTTTTATTGCATAAATGTAGCTCTAGGCTGAACATTTGGGTCGGTTCTGGTTTTTAGCTATTATGAATAAGGCTGCTGTGAACATTCATGCACACATTTCTGCATGTGAATGAAAAAGCTCAGAGACAGCACCCAGGCCCTGAGTTCAAGCCCTAGTACTACAAATAAACACCAGACACTGGAGTCTCATGGCTCTATCCCTAGCTACTCAGGAGGCTAAGATCTGTGGATCATGGTTAAGAGCAAGCTTGAGCAGTTAAGTCCATGAGATTCATCTCCAATAAACTTCTCAGAAAAAGCCGGAAGTGATGCTGAGGCTCAAGTGGTAGAGTGCTAGCCTCGAGCATAAAGAGGCTCAGGGACAGCACCCAGGCCCAGAGTTCAAGCCCCAGGACCAGCAAAGGGAAGGGAAAGGGAAAGGACACTTGTAGTTATAAAACCCAGAAATAACCCAAATGTTCAATAATAGAGGAAGGTGTGGGTGCCCAGAGCCCAGGATGAAGAGGTGGGGTCCAGGTGGCCCGGGCTAGGATTATGGCTGGTAGCTGTGGGTTTGGAGCAAATTGTTGACCTGCTCCTGATTTTATCTAGGAACCCTGATGGCCACTTGACCCTTGTTATGACCCTCACATGCAATGCTGTGGCCATTAATGTCACCATTACAGAGAATCTGAAGTGCCCTGGGAACAGAGACCCCACACAGTACCCAGGTACACACTGACAGGGTCTCGGATGAGCCTCACAACAGAGGAGAACTCAGCAGAGGGCTGTGCTGAGAGCGATGGGGTTTAGTCCTCTGAGCTTTGAGCGGTTGTACAGTGCATTCACATTGCCACCAGCTCTTGTTGTTGCCTTGAGACACGTGGCTGGCCTTACTGCCTGCCACAGAGGCCATCCAGCCCGGCCCGGAGGCTCCCAGGCCAGCTGAGCCCGTCCTGTGGAGTCCCCGTACCTGAAGTTGTAGCCCGGGATCAAGGACTCGTTGGTGGTCTTGTTGTCCAGGCGGCGGAAGCTGTACTTGGGGCGGCAGTGATGGCTCCACTGGTCTAGGTTGCAGTCCCAGTAGATCTCGATGCCCATGATTCCTCCCTGCATGCAAGGTCAACATGAGAAGTCTGCAAACAGGCTGAAGGTGGTGCGGCATGGCGCCATCGCAGCCTTAGAAAGGGTTTCTTTTAGAAGGAAAATGATGTCTAAAGGTTTTAGAGCCATACATGTGAGTTAGGTCACCATGACAGCCAGCTACAAAACCCTCTCCCTCCCTCACTCCCCCACTCCCTCACTCCCCCCCACCTGCTCTTCTTCCATCCTTATGCTTGACACAGCTTCCAGTAAACGGGGCCTGAACTCAAATTCCTTTAACCCCTTTCCCCTCACCACATGAAAAATCAAGGCTAACTGGAATTCAGGACCTCCTTTAAATACCACTTCCCTTTCATCTGTCAGCATGCCCACAGGGAAGGCTCCCTCTAGAGGTGAGCAAATGGAGGGTCCGGAGATGGGAGACCATCCTGGGTGACCCAGGTGGGCTTACAAGCCCCTCTTATAAACACTCCCTCCCCTAAAGACAAAGCTTTTTATAATGGAGAGACGGAACTTGGACCTAGATTCTGGAGAGCTGGGCACAATGGTGCACACCTGTAATCCCAGCACTAGCTGAACTGAAACAGGAAGAGTTTGAGACCAGCCAGGGTTACATAATGAGAGCTTGTCTCAGAAAACTAGAAGGAGACACAGCCATTGTGACCACTTAATTGAAATGCTCTGCTGCTGGCCTTGAAGACAAGACAGAGGACATAGAGACCTTCCAGGCTGAGGTGACCGAGGCCAGGGTGTGCATTTCCCCCCTGCAGCCTGCAGGGGGAGCCTGGCGCCACTCACACCTTGCTTCTGACTCTGGGAAACTAGGTCTGACCCCCAGAAACAGGAAAGGGCGTTTTGTTTGAAGCACACATTTGTCACCGCAACTACTGGAAACCAACATCCTAGGAGACTCGCCCACTGGCCTGGGGTTACACGAGGGTGCTGCACGTGCTGGATGGTGTGAACCGTGTTTCTAAGGCCCAGTGTGTCTGGCTCCCTGGCCTCCCTAAGCAAGACACGCCCCCCCCCCCCCAACCTCCCTCCCTTCAAATCCAGACATGACTGACCTGAATTGCCACCTCTGAAAAGTTCTCTCCTGCCTCCCGAAGGATATCTCCTAGTCGGAAAATGGGGCACTGTGGATTCTGAGTCTTGTGGAAGGTACAGGAGACATTCAGATCTGGCAGGATGTTCCTCCTGTGTGGGACGGGACGCAGGCATCTGTACTGGAGCAGACAGGGCCCCACTGTGTCCTCTGTCTCCCACATAATAGGGCATCGCTGCCAAACACAGCACCACCATTTCTGCCCACCTGCTTTCTTATGATCTCTTGTCCCTGGGAAAGCTATCACCTTGTTATCAGGGCACTGTGGAGTGAAGATGAGCCCTCCTCCCAGTACCCAGTGGGTGAGCCTGGCAGAGGGCTCTGGCCCCAGGCAAGCCTGGACCCGAATGTGGCTCTAGGAACTTGACTGTGGCCTACAAGGTCCCGAGCGGCCACCCCACTGAGGTCCAGATTCCCAACCCATGGAAACTGGGGGAGAGAAAAAGCTGCTGTCATTTGGGGCTTCTTAGGTTTGAGGACATTTGTTAAATTGCCATGGTAACTGATACAGCAGGACTTCCTGGGCACTCACGTGGTGTAGTTGTGGCCAGGGAAGCCTATGTTGTTCTTGATGAGCACCGTGAAGTTTTCAGCGCTGCTCAAAAGTGCAGGCCTGGGAGAAAGGAATGAGGGTCAGGGGTCCCATAAGGTAGCAAGGCCAACACTTCTGGTTTTGTGGAATGAGTACAGAGAGATAGATACAGTACCCCAGCGGGTAGAACCTTCCATACATCCCCACAAAGCCGCCAGCCTCCCCAAGAACAGCATCTGCCTTCCTGAGACCCTATGGCAGTTACTGTGTCACTTTTTTTTTTTGTTTGTTGGTCGTGGGGCTTGAACTCTGGGCCTGGGCACTGTCCCTCAGCTCTTCAGCTCAAGGCGAGCGCTCTACCACTAGAGCTACAGCGCCACTTCTGGTTTTCTGGTGGTTTATTGGAGATAAGAGTCTCACAGTCTCTCCTGCCCGGGCTGGCTTTGAACCATGATCCTCAGATCTTAGCGTCCTGAGTAGCTAGGATTACAGGCGTGAGCCACCAGCGCCCGGCACTGTGTCACTTCTGACACTATGGTAGAACCGTGGCTAGGTGTGTGCCATTGTGTGTTGATAAGTGTGTAACCACCAGCACACTAGGGACAAAATCTAGGAGGCCTGCCATGTGAGTGCTGATGGTTGTGGAGAGTGACATGGGAGCTGGAACCGGTCCGCGTGCCACCCCAGGGTGGCTTCTCCCGTACGGCTGCGTTTCGGGCAGTGTGATGACAACGCCTGTCTCACCTTGCATCCCAGCCTTCAGCACCGGGCTGAAGGAGCATGTGACACTCCCTAAAGGATAGGCACTCAGATTCCAGACCACCACAAGGCCACTCTCCATCCACCCATCATCTGCCTGTCCACCATCTACCCACCCACCCACCCACCCATCAGTCCACACCATCCATCCATCCACCCACCCACCCATCATTCCACTCACTAATTCATCCACCATCCATCCATCCACCCACCCACCCATCAGTCCACTCACTAATTCATCCACCATCCATCCATCCACCCACCCACCCATCAGTCCACTCACTAATTCATCCACCATCCATCCATCCACCCACCCACCCATCAGTCCACTCACTAATTCATCCATCCATCCACCCACCCATCTACAACACAAATATTTATGGTAGGGGGCATGGTGCCAGGCACTGGGGTACAACACTAAATAAGACGGGCAGCATTTTTAGCCGGTGGCAGCCGAGCGCCTAGGAAAGATGGCTGTGGATAGAGGGATGGAGCCAGTGTCCTGCTGCCTGGCACGAGAAGGGGGGGTGTCTTCCAGCATAGTCCACAGCCCCCCTCTGACTCCGAGGGCCTGCTCTGGCCCTGCTCAGGGCTCCGCCGTTGTGAACAGTCATTGCCATCGGCCTAGCACCCCCTCACTTTTGTCAGTATGACCTCCACTTTCCCTTCCTCCATTGTATCTAGACTAGCCTCCCCAAAGGACAAAGAATATTACTGACACTACTCTGAGACCTGGATCAAGCCTTGCCTGAAGCCAGAAACTCTGGTTGTCTCATTTACTGGAGTCAGAAATACAGCCAAAAAATAATACCCACCCCCACCCCCCCACCCCCGCCTCTTTTCTGAAGTGAACTTTAGCTTAAAGCTAAAGTTTAAGATGCTGAACTTTCTGCCACTTGTATTAAGAAAAAAAAAGTCCTATTAATGACAGATACCTGTTGAGTGCTGGACTTAGCCCTCCAAACATGGTTAGCTCCACACTGAACTTTAAGGATCAGAGTTCTTATTCTTTTTTGATCGTGGGGCCTGAACTCTGGGCGCTTTCCCTCAGCATTCCAGCTCAAGGCGAGCGCTCTACCACTTGAGCTACAGCACCACTTCTGGTTTTCTGGTGGTTTATTGGAGATAAGAGTCTCACAGAGTTTTCCTGCCCGGGCTGGCTTTGAACCGTGATCCTCAGATCTCAGCCTCCTGAGTAGCTAGGATTACAGGCGTGAGCCACCGGCACCCAGCTTCTCTCTCGTTTTTATACTGCAAGGGCTTTTGGGGCCTGGATGGTATTTCAGACTTCTTGTGTCCTCCATGAAACCCATCCTCTCCTGTGCATCCTTACACATGGAGTAAACTTTCAAAGCCCGCTGCACAGTGCTGAACGTGCAGAGTGAACGGAGCAGTTAAATGAATTAAGTGAATCCATAGAACAGATGAGGAAATGGAAGTCCAGGGTAGAAAGTCATTTAAAGTGTTAGCCTTGGAAGCCAGGCTTGGTGATTCATGCCTCAAATCCCAGTACTCAAAACTAAGCAAGGAGGATGTGAGTTTGGGGCCAGCCTGGGCTTTATAACAAGAGTAAACAACCTGAAGAGCATTGCAGCAGCTGGTGCTCCAGACTCAGTGTGTCTGATGAATAAGCTGTTGGCAGGGCGGGAACCAGGATCCAGGGCCCATGAAGGGGCCCCTTGTCTGGATCCAAGAATTAGCGGGCTGTGGACTGTGTGCCACCCACCGCTGGGCCAGGCCTCCTCCCTCCCCCAGAGAAACCTTCCTGACCTAGAAATGAACCTGGGGTCACAATGGAGGGCCCCACAGGGCAATGCAGCCTGAACCCCACCCTGTCCCTGGTGGAGACCTTTGAGCCTCTTTGCCCCATCAGTGCTGAGCAAAGCGGTTCTGAGTCTCCCTGGTCTGGGCAGCCACAGGAATAAGCGGCTTTTTTTTTTCTTTGTTGGTTGAGGGGCTTGGGGCTTGAGCTCTGGGCCTGGGCGCTGTCCCTCAGCTCTTCAGCTCAAGGCGAGCGCTCTACTGCTTGAGCCACAGCGCCACTTCTGGTTTTCTGGTGGTTCATTGGAGATAAGAGTCTCATGGACTTTCCTGCCCAGGCTGGCTTCGAACCTCAATCCTCAGATCTCAGCCTCCTGAGTAGCTAGGATGACAGGCATGAGCCCCTGGGGCCTGGCTCAGGCAGCTATTTTAATGTCAAGACATCATGATTGTGTTGCATGGTTGTGCACCCTCTGTGGTAGACACATTGATTCTCATTTAATAGAAGAGGACAATGCTGCTGCTCAGGTCAAGCCACTTGCCCCAGGTCACCCAGCAGAGATGTGTTAGTCAGGAATGTGGTCCTGTCTAGCTGTTCTCCACTGAAATGCACCAGTGCTTGAGGGTTCTGACATATAACATCCTGACCTTGTACGGTAGAGAAAAGCCCGCAAGAGATCATCAAATCTGTACAGCACATGCGTGTTGTATTGGGGAACATTTGCCTTCCTTCCCTTCTCTCCTTCCCCCTTTCCTCTCAGATCCTCCTACCCTCCCCCATTTTTTCTGCTCCTTGTCATCAGCCCCGACCAATCAGAACAAACCCTGCTGGACACTGCAGCGCTGGGGACCAATCAGAACAAACCCTGCTGGGAACTGAGGCACAGGAGCAGCCAGCTGGCACAGGACGATGTCACTGCGTCAGCAGGAACTCTGTGGCCATGCTGGCAGCTGGCACAGCTTTCTCAGAGTCGCGGGTGCCTGGCACTGGAGGCCACAGGCCCTCAGCGGGCGCAGGGCTGCCACTCACCGCGGGGCCTCCTCAACCGCCTCGGCCGGGCACCAGGCCCAGACCTCGCAGGTCTTGTGGGTCGCGTTGAAGGAGATGCACTTGCCAGTCTGGATTCCTGCGGACAGGACGGGGTTGCAGGACAGGGGTCACAGGTGCAGCCCAAGCTGAGAACCTGCCTTGCCCCACCGGCCCGGGCAGAGCCCAGGCGCAAGCACTGAACAACGAGCCCTTAGAACAAGAAAGCCTCGTGTGCCGTGCGGAGGCTGGGCCCTGGGGTTCTTTACAAGGAGGGGTGCCCGGAGCGGAGCACTGTGTTTCCTCTCAGCACCTGGAAGTGGGCAAGACCCACCTGAGTGCCACCTGATGGACACAGGACATAGGGACGTGGAGGCAGACTTCTGAACTCTTAAAGGGTCGCCACATCCAAGACGTCTGTGCACTGATTCACACATACATGAACTGTGAGCACATCTGGCCACTCAGCCTTTCTGAGAGCTAGCCGCGTGCATTGGCCACTGAAGGGGCTGATTTATCGTTTCTGTCACATGCCTCATGAAGGCATGAGAGAAGGTCATCTTCAGGCTAGCATGGCGTTATCCCCAGCCCCCTGATGACCCAAGGTTATGCATCATAGATAATGTGATGGGCCGCTCGATGGTTCTACCAGTTAGACCTGAGGCTGCCAGGTTTGGAGGGGCTCCCAGCGCGGGAGACCAGAGTCGCACTTGCAGGCTGCAGCTGGTCTGGGGGACACAGCCCAGGACCTGGGCTGGTACCAGATCGCCTGTGGTTTGGTGGTAGAAGGCAGCTGATAGCCAGAGGCTGAGGACCTGGACTGGGCACCAAGAATGTCACCAGAATGCCAGATCACCCCCACCCAACCACCCCGTAGGAGCCCCCTCGGGAACGAGCAGGCGGTACCTTTGCCTAGCGGGTCTGTCCATCCCTTTTTACAGCCCCGATCAGAGGAGCAGACCGTTCTGCGGGTGGGGTACTGTGGGGAGGACAGGACAGTGAGGAATGAGAGGCGATGTCCTTGTCTACACGAAGCCTGCCCTTCACCGTACTCCCCACACACAGCCACAGTGCGAACAGGACTCATGTCCATCAATGGAGGGAGGGACAAATTCCACCCATGGAATATTACCCAGCCACCAAAAGAACAACAAAGCACCCACATGAACTACAACATGGGGAAACCTTGAGAACTTGATGCTGAGGGAAAAAAGCTGGGCACAAAGGGCCATGTGCTGTGCAGGCCCATTCGCAGGAAGTGTCCAGTACACGCAAGTCAGACACACAGAAAGTGGACTAGCGGTTTCCAGGGGCAGAAAACAGAGGTTGGTGGGGAATGGGCAGTGCCTGGCTCTTCATCTTTCACTCTTGGTAACTCAAAATACCGGGGGAGAGAGCAAGGAAAGGGGTGACATTGTCCAAAGAGACCAATGCAACAGTCACCCCTCTGCACATCACCCTTATAATGACAACTGACAGAAGGTGCACCTCACCACGTCTGGGAGGCGCTCGGTTGTCAGCCATCCTCAGAGCTAGGTTTTGTTATTGGTCCTTTCTGTGGATGAATGCATCCAGGCCCAGAGGGTAGAAGTCACCTACCTATTTTCTCTTCCTTACAACTCTCAGTAACTTGAGCCAGGCAGTGGTGGCTCATGCCTGCAATCTCAGTTACTCAGGAGGCTGAGATCTAAGGATCCAGATTCCAAGCCAACCTGGCAGAAAAACCTGAGACCTTTATCTCCAGTTATCCACATAAAAGCCAGACATGGAGGTGTGGCTAAGTGGGAAAGCATCAGCCTTGACTAAAGAAGCTAAATGAGAACATGAGGCCTGGAGTTCAAGCCCCAGTACCTGCCCAGAAAGCCCAAGAAACACAACACAGAGCAAGACCTTGATAGGGAAGCCATTTTTCTAGACAGAGCTAGGGGAAGTCAAGAGGGGGCTAGGCCAAGTCAGAAAAGACAGTGGGGTGGCAGTGTGGGGGTGTTGAGGTCATGGGTCTGAGTGTTCCCCATGACCTACCCTGCAGACAGGTTACCGTGGGCCTTGGTAAGAGCTGCCGTGGATGGGAACACCAGGATTTTAACTCTGGTCCCTTTGATGCTGTGTGACCCTGTGTTCTGGTGTTCTGACATGGGAGGCGGGGCTGTGTGGGTTTCCCTGGGAAGTTGATATGACATAACCTAATGAAGCCTCAGTGCTGGGGAGCAGTCCCCGTCCTGGACGCAGGGGGGCAGATCTGTGGTCCCCAATCCCACCGCTTGTCCTGCCCTGCTCTGCTCAGCCCTACCCACCAAAGAGGCAAGTCTCCCTCAGTGTCTGTGGGTCCAAATGCATCCTGGGCTCCCCTTCTGTTCCTTTAACCCAACACCTCCCTCCCCCCTCCTAGCGCGCCCGCTCACCGCTCACCTCGGGGCACAGCTTCTGCTGCTGGCCTTCGGTCTTGAGGAAGTTTGTCATCACGAAGAAGGAGTTCCCCTGTGGGGGGAGGAAGCCTGGTTGTCCTGGCTGCTTCTAAGCTTCTGGAGCCCCAGCTGGGGGCGGGGGGGGGGGGGGGGGGGGGGCTTTGACAGCTGAGCATCGAGCTTTAGAGCTGAGCCGTCCTGCGGGCGGCTGGGGCAGCTGGGCCGTGGGGCCGTGTGGGGCCGTGTGGGGCTGTGGGGCTGTGTGGGCTGTGTGGGCCGTGTGGGACTGTGTGGGCTGTGTGGGCTGTGTGGGGCTGTGTGGGGCTGTGTGGGCTGTGTGGGCTGTGTGGGGCTGTGTGGGCTGTGTGGGGCTGTGTGGGGCTGTGTGGGGCTGTGGGGCTGTGTGGGCTGTGTGGGCTGTGTGGGGCTGTGTGGGGCTGTGTGGGGTTGTGTGGGGCTGTGGGGCCGTGTGGGGCCGTGTGGGGCCGTGTGGGCTGTGTGTGGGGCCGTGTGGGCTGTGTGTGGGGCTGTGTGGGCCGTGTGGGGCTGTGTGGGCCGTGTGGGGCTGTGTGGGGCTGTGTGGGCCGTGTGGGGCCGTGTGGACCGTGTGGTGCCGTGTGGGCCGTGTGGGGCCGTGTGGGCCGTGTGGGGCGTGTGGGGCTGTGTGGGGCTGTGGGGCTGTGTGGGGCTGTGTGGGGCTGTGTGGGTTGTGTGGGGCTGTGGGGCTGTGTGGGGCTGTGTGGGGCTGTGTGGGGTTGTGTGGGGCTGTGTGGGCTGTGTGGGCTGTGTGGGGCTGTGTGGGGCTGTGTGGGCTGTGTGGGGCTGTGTGGGCTGTGTGGGGCTGTGTGTGGGGCTGTGTGGGCTGTGTGGGCTGTGTGGGGCTGTGTGGGCTGTGTGGGGCTGTGTGGGGTTGTGTGGGGCTGTGGGGCCGTGTGGGGCCGTGTGGGCTGTGTGTGGGGCCGTGTGGGGCCGTGTGGGCTGTGTGTGGGGCTGTGTGGGGCTGTGGGGCCGTGTGGGGCCGTGTGGGGCCGTGTGGGGCCGTGTGGGTTGTGTGGGGCTGTGGGGCTGTGTGGGGCTGTGTGGGGCTGTGTGGGCTGTGTGGGGCTGTGTGGGCTGTGTGGGCTGTGTGGGGCCGTGTGGGGCCGTGTGGGCTGTGTGGGGCTGTGTGGGGTTGTGTGGGGCTGTGTGGGCTGTGTGGGGCCGTGTGGGGCCGTGTGGGGCCGTGTGGGGCTGTGGGGCCGTGTGGGCCGTGTGGTGCCGTGTGGGCCGTGTGGGGCCGTGTGGGCCTGTGTGGGGCTGTGTGGGGCTGTGTGGGGCTGTGGGGCTGTGTGGGGCCGTGTGGGGCCGTGTGGGCCGTGTGGGCCGTGTGGGACTGTGTGGGGCCGTGTGGGGCCGTGTGGGACCGTGTGGGGCCGTGTGGGGCCGTGTGGGCTGTGTGGGCTGTGTGGGGCTGTGTGGGGCTGTGTGGGTTGTGTGGGGCTGTGTGGGGCTGTGTGGGCTGTGTGGGGATGTGTGGGCTGTGTGGGCTGTGTGGGGCTGTGTGGGGCTGTGTGGGCTGTGTGGGACTGTGTGGGGCTGTGTGGGCTGTGTGGGGATGTGTGGGCTGTGTGGGCTGTGTGGGGATGTGTGGGCTGTGTGGGGCTGTGTGGGCTGTGTGGGGATGTGTGGGCTGTGTGGGGCTGTGTGGGTTGTGTGGGGATGTGTGGGCTGTGTGGGGCTGTGTGGGGCTGTGTGGGACCGTGTGGGGCTGTGGGGCTGTGTGGGGCTGTGTGGGCTGTGTGGGGCTGTGTGGGGCTGTGTGGGCTGTGTGGTGCTGTGTGGGGCTGTGTGGGGCTGTGTGGGGCTGTGTGGGACCGTGTGGGGCTGTGGGGCTGTGTGGGGATGTGTGGGCTGTGTGGGGCTGTGGGGCTGTGTGGGCTGTGTGGGGCTGTGTGGGCTGTGTGGGGATGTGTGGGCTGTGTGGGCTGTGTGGGGCTGTGTGGGCTGTGTGGGGCTGTGTGGGCTGCGTGGGGCTGTGTGGGGCTGTGTGGGGTTGTGTGGGGCTGTGTGGGGCTGTGTGTGGGGCTGTGTGGGCTGTGTGGGGCTGTGTGGGCTGCGTGGGGCTGTGTGGGGCTGTGTGGGGTTGTGTGGGGCTGTGTGTGGCTGTGTGTGGGGCTGTGTGGGGCTGTGGGGCCGTGTGGGGCCGTGTGGGGCCGTGTGGGCCGTGTGGGGCCGTGTGGGCCGTGTGGGACTGTGTGGGGCCGTGTGGGGCCGTGTGGGGCCGTGTGGGCCGTGTGGGGCCGTGTGGGGCTGTGGGGCCGTGTGGGGCTGTGGGGCTGTGTGGGGCCGTGTGGGACTGTGTGGGCTGTGTGGGCCGTGTGGGGCCGTGTGGGGCTGTGTGGGGCTGTGTGGGGCTGTGGGGCTGTGTGGGCCGTGTGGGGCTGTGTGGGGCCGTGTGGGGCTGTGTGGGGCCGTGTGGGGCTGTGTGGGGACATGGGGCTGTGTGGGCCGTGTGGGGCTGTGTGGGGACATGGGGCTGTGTGGGGCTGTGGGGCTGTGTGGGCCGTGTGGGGCTGTGTGGGGCCGTGTGGGGCTGTGTGGGGACATGGGGCTGTGTGGGCCGTGTGGGGCTGTGTGGGCCGTGTGGGGCTGTGTGGGCCGTGTGGGGCTGTGTGGGGCCGCGTGCGCGGCGGGGCGGCTGCGCCTCGGGACGGGACTCGGCCCCGCCCGCCCGACAACGACACAGCCTTGTCTCCGTGGGGATTTCCACAGAGCCTTTTAGAAAATAGGGCGCACGTCTTTGTGGCTCTGGTGTAGGGACGGGGCGCGGCGGGGCGGGGCGGGGCGGGGCGCGGCGGGGCGGGGCGGGGCGGGGCGGGGCGGGGCGCGGCGGGGCGGGGCGGGGCGCGGCGCGGCGGGGGGGGGAAGAGGGGGGCGGGGCGGGGCGGGGCTCGGTGAAACGGGGCGCGGCGGGGGGGGGGGGGAAAGAGGGGGGGCGGGGCGGGGCTCGGTGATACGGGGCGGGGGAAGGAGGGGGGAGGGGAGGGGCGAGAGGGGAGAGGGGCGGGGCGGGGCGGGGAGGGAGGGGGAGGGAGGGGGCGGGGAGGGAGGGGAGGGAGGGGAGAAGGGAGGGGGAGGGGCTCACCTGCAGCCCGAAGGTGTAATCGGCCGCGTCGAAGATGCTGCCCGCCGCCGCCGCCGCCGCCCCGGCTCCGCCCGCCACCTCCGCGATGCCCTTCACCTTGGCGTTCACCGAGCTGATGACCGGCTCCTTCTGCTGGTACAGCTTGTCACTCAGCAGCGCGAAGCTGGGGGCAGGCGGGGAGGCCATCAGTGGCTCGTGCGCCAAGCGAGGCCCTGGCGGTGGTAGGTTCGAGCACAGGCGCCGGCTCATGGCTGCCTCCGATCAAAGCCTGGCTCTGCTGGGTGACTGATTGCCTCCCCCCCCCCATTGTTTATTTTTAAGCAGTTGTACAAAGAGGTTTGAATCCAACAAGTTAGGTTATGAGTGCAGTGCACCGTACTCGCTGTCGCCTGTCCACCGCCCTCCCCCACCGTCCCGACCCCCAAGTGGCATCCACCTCCCCCAAAATGTACGTTGCATATAGTAACTGTATTTGCCCCTCCTCTCTCCAGCCATCTGAAAAAATTCTGTCTGTTGAGGGAGAGAAGCCATACACAAAACATTATAGTTGCCTGTCATCCTGGCTACTCAGGTGGCTGAGAGCCAAGGATCATGGTTCAAGGCCAGCCCAGGCAGAAGAGTCCCCATGAGACTTTTTTTGGTCCATCATGGGGCTTGAACTCTGGGCCTAGGCACTGTCCCTCAGCTCTTCAGCTCAAAGTGAACATTCCACCACTTGAGCCACAGCACCCTTCCTGTTTTCTGGTGGCTAGAGTTACAGGCAAGAGCCATCAGTGCCGGGCCAATGAACCACTCAAAAACCAGAAGTGGTGCTGCAGCTCAAGTGTTGGAGCACTAGCCTTGAGCACAAAGAGGCTCAGGGATGGTGCCCAGGCCCTAAGTTCAAGTTCCACAACCACCACCAACAACAAAAAGTTATAGTAGCCAGGCACCGGTGGCTCACGCCTGTAATCCTCGCTACTCAGGAGGCTGAGATCTGAGGATCGAGGTTCAAAGCCAGCCCGGGCAGGAAAATCCGTGAGACTCTTATCTCCAATAAACCACCAGAATACCGGAAGTGACACTGTAGCTCAAGCGGTAGAGCTCTCGCCTTGAGCTGAAGAGCTGAGGGACAGCGCCTAAGCCCAGAGTTCAAGCCCTACGACCGACCAAAAAAAAGTTATAGTATACAGTAAAGAAAAAATGTTATAGTATATGATGACATTTATATGAAATATCCAGAATAGGCAAACCCATAGAGTCAGGGAGATTGCTGGTCGAGGAAAGAAAGATGCAAGCACTTCAGAACTAGATAGAAGTGATTTCAGGAAGTGGCGCTGTAGCTCAAGTGGCAGAGTGCTCGCCTTGAGCTGAAGAGCTGAGGGACAGCACCCAGGCCCAGAGTTCAAGCCCCACGACCGACAAAAAAAAAAAAAAGAAGTGATTTCATACAACTATATTAAATGCTACTAGATTGTTCTCTTTTGAAATGATTAATTTTATATTCTATGAATTTCACTTTAATAAAGGAGGTAAGATATATGTTTACAGACATGGCCATATGTCTATCCAACTATTAGATCAGATCAAGGAATAACCATCACCAAGTTCAAGGTACTGTTTACCAAGGGAAGGGGGTGATGGGATAAAGGAGAGGTTTGCAGAGCACAAAACTTGATTAGTTGCCAGACTCCAGTGGCTCACACCTATAATTCTAGCTACTTGGGAGGCTGAGATCTGAGGACTGCAATTCAAAGCCAGCCTGGGCAGGAAAGTCTATGAAACTCTTCTCTCCAACTAACTGCCAAAAAATCCAGAAGTGGAGCTGTGGCTAAGTGGTAGAGCATTAGCCTTGGTCATAAAAGCTCAGGAACAGAACCTAGGCCCAGAGTTCAAGCCCCAGGACCCACAAAAAAAAAAAAAGAAGACAACTTCAATCAGCCTTACAACACATATATAATGCATGCGGCATTCTCTATCCAAAGCACTGGATCTGTTTGACCTACCATCTACCATTTGAAAAATTCGCAAACATGCAGCATGTTATAGCTGAGCCTTAATGGAGTCCAGCCTCCCAGAGCTGCACAAGCTGCCTTCACAGACTGAAGAACACATACAGCTTAGCAGTAGGACACTTGCAGGGCATGCACAAGGCCCTGGGTTCAAGGAAAAGATGACTGGGGGGATGGAAAGGGGGGAGAAGGAGGGGAGTAGGAGCATGCATAAGAGAGGTTGCTGTGTCCTGTCCTTCAGAAAGAACGTTCTAGTGATGAGCCCAGCGGTGCAGTCTTGACCTTGCCTGGTAACTCAAACAAGCCATGTCACCATTGCAGGCCCTAGATTTAGTCCGGACAGGAGGTGATAACTCCTTGGTTATCAGCTCTAAGCAGGACAAGGGAATTCTGGAGTTGAGGATCAAGCTGGGCCTGTGAGACAGGGCTGGAGTCCCAGGGAGGGGAGAGCTGGAGGGCTTGGGCAGGCAGAAGGGAGGTGGTGTGGTCAGGCTCAGGTGCACGGGGAGATGGTGGAGAGGTGAGGCAGGGGGAGGTGAGGGGAGACCAGGCCCGGGCCCACTCACCAGATGTAGAAGCAGGTGCCCACCAGGAAGATGTTCTTCACAGTGCCGATCCACACGCTGTGGATACGGAGAACCCTCACGGTGGAGCGCCAGGTGTGCAGCTCCCTGGCAGGGAGGCCTCTGGGCCAAGCCCAACGGACTCTGAGCAAAGGTAACACTAGGGTGAAAGTCAGGAGAGCCCTGAAAGCAAACTGACTCTACAGCTGTGCACCCCACATCCAGCCTGAGGCCTAACCACAGGGGCTCCCTGGATCTGTGTCCTCATCACCCACTCCGGTCAAAGGCCATGCACGTTTTTGTCAAACCACAGAAGATGAAACCATTCATTCTACGTTCTCACCAACAAATGCACACTGCCTTTTAAGAGGGCCTTGACAAACTAGAGCGAGACCGGGGGCCTAGCTGAGGGTCTCAGTTGTATGCTGATGGCCCTAGTCACGGGGGGTGGGGGGAGCACATGGAGAAAAGGGGCAAGGAGGGGCTGGGAAGGTGGCTCAGTGGTAGAGCGCTTGCCTTGCATACATGAGGCCTTGGGTTCTATTCCTCAGCACCACATAAGCAGAAAAAGCCAGAAGTGGTGCTGTGGCTCAAGTGATAGAGGGCTAGCCTTGAGCTGAAGAGCTGAGGGACAGCGCCCAGGCCCAGAGTTCAGGCCCCACGACTGACCAAAAAATAAGAAAAAAAGAAAAGAAAAGGAGCGAGGACCAGCAGTGTGACACTATCTGAAGTAGGAGAAGCACACAGGGCACAGCTGTAACTAAGGCAAAGAACACAGGAGGCAGATTCTGCTCAGTGTAAGAAAGAAGAGTCTAAATCTAGGCACTGATGGCTCACACCTGTTCTCTAGCTGCTCAGGAAGCTGAGATTTGGAGGATCACAGATGAAACCTAGCCCAGACACATAAGTTCACAAGACTCAGATGTTTGAAGCTAACTAGAACATGTAAGTCTACAAGACTCTAAAGGTAGAGGGCCAGCTGAACAAGTGAGCCCCAGTACTGAGGGGTAGGGGGAAGGATGGAAAGAAGAAAGGAAAAGAAAAGAGAAAGAAGTATCTAACCCAGTGCCAGTGGCTCACATCTGTTATCCTAGCTACTCAGGAGGCTGAGATCTAAGGATGGAAGTTCAAAGCCAGCAGCTAAATCCATGAGATTTTTTTTTTTTTTTTTTTTGCCAGTCCTGGGGCTTGAACTCAGGGCCTGGGCACTATCCCTGAGCTGCTTTTGCTTGAGGCTAGTGTTTTACCTCTTGAGCCACAGCACCACTTCTGACTTTTCCTATGTGTGTGGAATCGAACCCAGAGCTTCGTGCATGCTAGGCAAGCACTAAGCCTACCATTAAGCCACCTTCCCAGCCCTCCAGGAGATTCTTATCTCCAATTAACCACCAAAAAAGCTAGAAATAGAGCTATGGCTCAAATGGTAGTAGAGTGCCAGCCTTGAACAAAAAAAGGGACAGTTTCCAGGCCCAGAATATGCAAGCACTAGGATTCACTCTCTCTCTCTTTCTCTCTCTCTTTCTCTGTCTCTGTCTCTCTCTGTCTCTCTGTCTCTCTGTCTCTCTGTCTCTCTCTCTCTCTCTCTCTCTCACACACACACACACACACACACACACACACGAGCACTCACACACAGAGAGCTCTAACAGAGCAGTCCTAGGATGAACAAGCTTGGCTGAGGTGGCTGGTTGGTGGCAATGAAGACTAGTGATGATGATGATGAGATCCCTATGCACCCCAGCCACTCCCCCACCCCCTCCTGGCTTCTTTTCCATCTGCATTTAAGCATCTTGAAAAGAAAGCTTCCCTCCATCCATCCACCACCGCTTGGTGCCTCTCTCCTCCTACAGCCCAGCTCTAAGAGAGTGAGTCACGCATCCCTCCCTTCCGCATCCCTTCACACCTCCACCCTCTCCAGTCTGGCTCCCGCCCCCTCCAGCACCTCCCCAGCCAAGTCCTTGTCACTAAATCCAGGCCCACCTGGGACCAACTCTTCCTGCTCTCACCTTGCATGCTTCCCTCCATGCATACCCTCCCTTCCCCTTCCCGCCAGAACCCACAGTCCGTGACTTCTGTGATTCACTGATTATTTATTTATTTATTTTGGGGCTGGTCCTGGGGCTTGAACTCAGGGCCTGGGTGCTGTCCCTGAGCTTCTTTTGTGCAAGGCTAGTGTTGTACTACTTAAGCCACAGCTCCACTTCCAGCCTTTTGTGGTTAATTGGAAATAAGAGTCTCATAGACTTTGCTGACAAGACTGGATTCAAACCACGAGCCTTAGACCTGAACCTCCTGAGTGGGTCAGGATTACAGGTGTGAGCCACCAGCACCTGGCTCACCACTGCTTTTTGTGTGTGAGCAGTACTGGGGCTTGAACGCTGAGCCTTGAATTCTCCCTTAGCTTTTCCACTAGAGGCTAGTGCTCTATTACTTGAGCTACACCTCCACTTTTGGCTTTTTGCTAGTTAATTGTAGATAAGAGTCTCACTAGCTTTTCTTCCTAGGCTGGTTTCAAACTTCTTTCCTCAGATCTCAGTCTCCTTAGTAGTTAGGGTTACAGAAGTGAGTCACCAGCACCTGGCTTTTAGACAGGGTTTCTTGTTCCCAGCATCAGAACCTACTCTGTTGAGTTTAAGAAAAAAGATGGCTGCCGGGTGCCAGTGCTCAGGCCTGTAATCCTAGCTACTCAGGAGACTGAGAGCTGAGGATCATGCTTCGAAGCCAGCCTAGGAAGAAAAGCCTCCGTGAGACTTTTATCTCCAATTAATCTCCACTCAAAAATCAGAAGTGGTGCTGTGGCTCAAATGGTAAAGCACTACTAGCCTTGAGCACAAAGAGGCTCAGGGATAGCGCCTAGTCCCTGAGTTCCCTGACAAAAGAAAAAGATGTCTTAAAAAAGGCAAATCTACAGAGAGAATCTCAACTCCAATTAACCACCCATATCTGGAATTGGAGCTGTGGCACAGGTAGCAGAGTACACATCTTGAACAAAAAAGCCATAGGAGAAGTCTTGAGTCCAAGCTCTAGTCAGTACAGGCAGAGAAAGACAGACAGAAGACAGACAGATATTAAATAGGTAGATAGCTAGAATAGGTAGACTAAATACATACATAGCCTAGATAGATAGATCCATAGATAAATAGATAGACAGACTAGCAGACAGACAAATAGCTACCAGTTATAGAGGCCTCAGTGCATGCTCTCCAGCCACCGTGATGCAGGGTTTTCATACCTTTTTTTTTTTTTTGGGTCCGGTCGTGGTGCCTGAACTCTGGGCCTGGGCGCTGTCCCTCAGCTCTTCAGCTCAAGGCTAGCACTCTACCACTTGAGCCACAGCGCCACTTCCGGCTTTTTTCTTTTTGCTTATGTGGTGCTGAGGAATCGAACCCAGGGCCTCATGCATGCAAGGCAAGCGCTCTACCACTGAGCCACCTTCCCAGCCCCGGTTTTCACACCTTTTCTTCTGTAATTGTCAAAATGATTGTATGAAGACGTAGGTGCAGAAGCTGAGGCTCCTCAGGTCACGTGACTTGGCCAGGATTATCAAATAGGTTGCTCTAAATTTGAGTCACCATGGGGCTCCCTGGTGAGCATGGCCACCATCACCGCCAGGAGGGAGGCCCTCTTTTGCAGAATCAAAACCACAGTGGCAGACCCCTTCACACCCACTAAGTTGGTGATGATTTCAAAAAAAGCCACAGTAACAAGTGTTGGTGATGATGGGGAGACCCAGAGCCCTCATACTCTGCTGATGAACATGGAAAACAGCCCGGCCGGTCCCCTAAAGCGGACATGGGTCTCCACTCGGAGGCATAGAACATTCACCCACACGAAACCTTGCACACGGGTGTTACGCAGCATTGTTCGTAAGAGTCCCAAGGAGAGACAACTGTGCTGTTATCAGTAGATGAACAGACATATAAAAGTGGTCTTTCCATACAAAACACTAATATTCAGACATTAAAAAAATATAAAGCAGAGCTACATGCGTGGTTCAAGTGGTAGAGCACCTGCCTAGCAAGTGCCAGGGCCAGAACAGAACCCAGTACTGTTCATTCATGCTCCAACATGAATGAACATTGAGAACAGAAAGACAGCCATCACAAAAGGCCATAGAGTGTATCATTCCACCCACGTGACATGTCCGCGGCAAGTGACTGTAGACTGAAGCGGCTTCCTAGGGAGGTGGAGGATGCCGGCTAAGAGAGGGATTGGAGGGGGTGCGAGGCGGGTGCGTGTATGGTTCCATGCTTGAGTCCTGTCTCCAGCCATTTTTTTTTCTTCTGCTTTAGTTAACTTGCAGGTAGGGTTTTGCTTTTTTCCCCAGGGCCAGCCTTGAATCTAGATCCTCACACTTTTGTCTCCTATGTAGCAGGGATCAAACACATGCACCACTGTGCCTGGCTTCTTTCTTTCTTCCTTCTTTCTTTCTTTCTTTTTCTTTCTTTCTTTCTTTTTCATTAAAAAATTTATTTTATTGCTGTACAGAGGGGTTACAGTTACATGAGTAAGGTAATGAGTACATTTCTTGTCAAGCATTGTTACCTGCTTCTAGTATCCCTTCCCTCCACGACCTCCCTTACTCTCCCCCACCCCCATGGCTTGTTTCTTGAGGTGAAGTCTTGATTAACTTTTCACCCAGGCTGGACTTGAACCATAATTCTCCCATCTCCACCACCCAAATAGCAGGGATTATAGGAATGAGTCACTGTACTGAGCCCATCAGGATTCTTTTGGGGTTAGTATAAATTTCCTAAAATTGCTTGTGGTGAGAGTTAAACAGCTCTGTAAACACACTAGAACCATTTTTAAGTAGAAAATTATAGTGCACAAATTATATCTTAATATTCTCCTGAAAACACAAGAAACCAGGGAGGCTCTTTCCTGACATTGGAGAGGTTCTAAAATGATGTTGACAAGCTTGGTCCTGTTCTTCTCCCCTCCAGTTGTCAGCAGGTGCACCCTGGAATGCTGGCGTCCTCCTTGGGATCCCATCCAGGTCGGAGCCCAGAGCTTCCCACCTGCGGCAGGCCTGCCCAGCCCTGCCCTGCTCATCCCGCAGGCCCCGGCTAGAGCCCAGCGGCGCTGCCCTGAGCACCTCTCACATTTGGGAACCACATGAATTCAGGATGTGCAGCCGCAGCCACAGCCGCAGCCCGGGATTTTTTTCTGTGCATCCAGTGGCGCAGAGATTAGCCCAGCCCCTACCCCACTTACCTAATGTAGAAAAGAACGATCATATGCAGGAACCACTTAATGGTGCCATAATTGGTGCTCTGGATCTGAGTGACTTTGTTTGTCTCATACTGGAAAACCTCGTTCCAGCAGCTGCTGCAGGCAGGCATGCTGAGAGATTCACTTCCTGCTCCGGGCTGGTCCTGGGTTCCACCCTCCCCTGCCAGACCGCAGCTGGTCCTCCCAGAAAAGGCAAAAGGAAACCCCACCGGTCCCTTGCAGGGGCTGGTAACGTTGAGTTCCTCCGATGGCTGCCGTGGGGGCAGGCCCTGGCAGCTGCCGCAGATGTGACTGGCATAAACAAGAAGAGCCAAGTGTCACAGGCCCGGCGGGCATATGACCCACCCCCGCCTGCCTCCCCCAGACAAAGATGGTGTTCAGAAGACGGGCATTTTTAGAATTCTCCCTTTCCCCTCTTGCATTCGAGTTTTGTAATTCATTTCATTGGAGCGAAAGGAGTAGCTTTTCAAATGTCATGAGACCCAATACTCCCATTGTGATTCAGAAAAGGGTCTAGATCTTTCCACTGCCTCAAGATTCTCAGGTTGACTGGTTCATTTCTACAGCCCTCTATTCGGCCCCCATTTATAGGAGCGCTGGGTGACTGACAATATCCCTTCTCTGCCTCCCTTCCCTGACAATTTTCTGGTCTTCAGATGGGGACAGGGAATCCTAGGGTGTAGAGTTGAGAGTGTGGCTCAAGTGCTGGAGTACCTGTGTTCAAACCCTTTATCTTTCAAAAAAAAAAAGAAAGAAAGAAAAGAAAAGAAAAGACAGGGCAGCTCCTAAAGACTCACAATGACACAACAGAATTCAGACTTTCAGGGAAGATGGGAATGCAACTCATGGTGTGGATGACAAATTCCTCAAAGGCTCAGAGAGCATGAGGAAGAGCCAAATAGAAATCATGGGAAAGCTGATGGTCTCCCGGGCACACTAGACCTAGCAGAGGAAAATTTCTGAGCTTGATCTATGGCGCAGACAGCTTGATTTCTATCCTGGGTCTTCTTCCTGACCCTCAAGGTTCTGCTCTGCTCTGCTCTGTTTTGTCAGCCCAGATCACCAAGAACAAAGCCACAGGTCAACAATATTGGTTTCTTGACCATCCAGTGAGGGAGACCACCTGGCCCTGGAGCCCAGGACATCAAACACGGGAGGAGATGGGGTCCTTGTAGGATTCTGAGGAAGGTAGCATTGAGATGAAATCAAAATAAAATCAAGTTTTGATAAGCTTAAAGGAAAGCAGTCCTGTGTCAGCAGTGGACTTCAAATACGGATTGTAAAAGAGAGCCAGGACTCTGTTTTCTTAGAAGCAATCACGCAAAGATGATTCTATCTAGAAGCCTTTATCAGAGGCTCTGCCCTGGGTTAAGGTGCCCTGGATCTTTCAAGGAACAGGGGAATGTTTGATTTTTAGTCATGTAATTGCAAGTGGGGGAGTTCCTGGTTCTCTGTTGTTTTAGAGGGCAGCGCTATTTTGGCAGCCAGATGCATCCCCTCGTGTTATTCCAGCCTGGTAAATGGCCCAGTAGACTTTTGCTTTTCCAGTCTGAGCTCATTTGTATTTCTGGTCCATCGGGCTCTGGCCTCTCCCTGCTCGGATGCTTGTTGGAGAGGCTGCTGGGCCCGTCCTCCTCCTCCGGGCAGTGTTAAAGGCTTCTCTCTGTGGCCGGCCCCAGCAGCCCACTGTCTCCGAATTCTGCCCTCCTCCTTCTTTGTAACTGGTCCCATCACCCGTGATGACTGGGCACCGCTGCCTTCCTGCCAGGGCTGGGCGTGACCCAGAAGTCCTCACGTGTAAGGAGAAGGGGATGGTCAGGATCCCACTTGGGGCCAGGAGGACTGATGGTTAGAACTGACGGGCTCAGCCCTGGCGTTCCATACAGCGGCCCCTCCTCTCCGCCCAGACCCACCTGAACTCCCATTACCTTTCTTCCTGTCCCTCAGACCCGGCTGCTGCCTGGCTGGGGACGGAGGCCACGGGCTCCCTCTTGGGGGAGATATGGCTGCTCTAATACACCGTCTGAGCCTCTTCCTCCTGTGCTGGCTGGGCTGCCTCTGCACGGTCCCCGGGGATGGGGGGTGGGGGTGGGACCCTCCCCCACTGCCACCCTCCCCCAATGCCACCTTCCCCTACTGCCGCCCACCAGCAGCCGCCTGTCCTCAGTGTGTCCTGTGCAGCCTGCTTTCCCTGCGCTGTCCCATTTCCCCATTCTGCTTCCTCTTCCCTGTCCCTTTCCGAATAAAGACCTCAGGGCTGGGGTGGGGCTGAGGAAGGACGTCAGTACCCAGACGGGGAAGGGCCTGGCAGCACCGAGCCAGGGGTGACGGGGTTGACAGGATGGCCATCGAAGCAGCACTGGTAGCCATGACAAACACAGGGATGGGCCAGAAGATCAAGCACTGAACAGGATTGGCGAGCTCTGCATGTGAGGGGGCATTTAAAACCAAGGGAGGAAAATGACTGGGAACAGAATCGGGGCGCCCTGGTGGAGGCGGGTGTGGTGCTCTACTGGTCAGATGCGAGATCTGTAACTTGGAAATGAGGGAGAAGCTGGCTGAATCGGGGGGCTGTGGACTGTGCTAGGCACTTTGGTTTTGGTTACACACATTTTGCATTTAAAGGGAGCACAGGTAACTTTGAAATAACATCAATGATGTCATAACAGTTCTGCTACCAGGCGGGAGCTCGTGTGTGTGTGTGTGTGTGTGTGTGTGTGTGTGTGTGTGTGTGTGTGTGTCTTGGGGCTTGAGCTCACTCGGGGCCTGGGCACTGTAACTGAGCTCTTCAGCTTGATCAAAGCAAGAGCTCTACCACTTGAGCCACAGCGCCACTTCTGGTTTTCTGGTGGTTTATTGGAGATAAGAGTCTCATGGACTTTCCTGCCCAGGTTGGCTTTAAACTGCGATCCTCAAATCTCAGCCTCCCAAGTAGCTAGGATGACAGGCCTGAGCCACCAGCGCCCGGCTCCTTTCTCCCTTCTGTTCAGACTCTGTGTCCACGCCAGTCCTGGCCTGACTTTGCAGCAGTGACACTCGTCTCTGCCCCTCGGGTGTGCTGTTTCAGCACGGTTCACTGTGTTCTCACTCAGGAGCTAGAAAACAGGTCATAGCAGCGCTTTCCCTGCCTGCTTTCCTCTGTATTTCTCCAGTTTCTCAGCAGCTGTGCCTTTCTAAACCTCTCTCCCTTTTCATCACCTAATCAGGATTCCTTCCTTCCTTTCCTTCCTTCCTTATTTCCCTCCCTCCCTCCCTCCCTCCCTCCCTTCATTCCTTCCTTCCTTCCTTCCTTCCTGCTTCCTTCCTTCCTTCCTGCTCCCTGCCTCCCTGCCTCCCAGCCTCCCTCTCTCCTTCCCTTCTACCCACAATCCTTCATACTGAAGGCTTGTTGGAAAATGCTCAGAAGATCTTTCCTCCCTCCCTCCATGCCTCCCTCCTTCCTTTCTTCCCTCCTTCCTTCCTTCCTTCCTTCCTTCCTTCCTTCCCTCCCTCCTTCCTTCCCTCCTTCCCTCCCTCCTTCCTTCCTTCCTTCCTTCCTTCCTTCCTTCTTTCCTTCCTTCCTTCCTTGTGCTGGTATTCAGGGCCTTGAGTTCTCACTTAGCTTTTTCATTCAAACCTGATTTCAAACCATTTGGGCCACACTTCCACTTCTAGCTTTTTGCTGGTTGATTGAAGATAAGAGTCTCCTAGAGGGCTGGGAAGGTGGCTCAGTGGTAGAGTGCTTGCCTTGCATGCCTGAGGCCCTGGGTTCAATTCCTCAGCACCACATAAGCAAAATGGAAAGAGCTGGAAGTGGCGCTGTGGCTCAAGTGGTAGAGCGCTAGCCTTGAGCTGAAGAGCTGAGGGACAGCGCCCAGGCCCAGAGTTCAGGCCCCATGACCGGACCCCCCCCCCAAAAAAAAAAAAAGAGTCTCCTAGATTCATTTGTCTGGGATGGCTTTAAACCTTGGTCCTCAGATCTCAGCCTCCTGAGTAGCTGGGATTACAGGGGTAAGCCACCAGTGCCAGCTGTGTTTATCCATTCATCCATCCCTGGACACTTTGGTCATTTCCACTTCTCTAGGCTCTAGTGAGTAATGCTGCGGTGAACCGGGTGGGTACACTCTCCGTTCATGTCCCTGCTTTCGGGCGTCTGGCTTTATATAGACCCAAGCTGAATTCTCCATCATATGGTAGATATTCTATTTTTAAGCTTAAACTTTATATTTAAGCTTTTGAGGAAACGTGTGTGTGTGTGTGTGTGTGTGTGTGTGTGTGTGTGTTTAAATTTAATCTACCCGAATAAGGCATCTCCTTTTTATCCTCAAAGTTGAACACACCACCCTCAGGAGAAGAAACAACTTCCTTGAATTAATGAGTCACAGCCTTTCTCATTAAAGCAGAGATAAATGTCATTCAGTTCATTCCAGAAGGGCACTCTGCTCCAGGGAACAGAGGGGAACGGCAGGATAAGGTTGTGCTGGGGAGATGGAGCTGTGCACGGGATGTCTGCGAGGAGGCAGAGGGTGAGGGCGGGAAAGGCAGGAAGAGCCCCCAGCTCCACGGCTCCCTGGAGGGGTCCTCAGTAGAGACTTGCCCCCCACGTTTCTGACCCCAACAAGCCTGACCCCTTGCAGCCTCTCCTCTATATTTCCTCTAGCGAGCACCCCCCCAGCCGCCAGCCCTTGGTTGTGTGGTGGAGCATGTGCTCCGATACTTGGCATCGATAGCCTCCGCTACCAGCGCCCGCCGTCTGTGGCCCGACAGCAGCTTCGTGCCGACCACGTTGACACACTTGTATTTAAATGTCATTTTATTGTTAGATGAAGGTGTTGTGCAGAGGGCTTGCCATTTTCATAGGTCAGGAACGAGTACTCTTTTTGGCCCGTGTCACGCCTTCTATTTGGTCCAGCTTTGTGAGGCCAGTGCAGCGGGGTCTGTGAGGGCATCTCCAGCCAGGCCCAGCGGAGAAGCCGGCACCCAGTGAGAAAGATGGCGCTGTGGGCAAAAGCAGAGACAGTAAGAGAAAATGAGGCCAGAGATGAGGAGCAGGTCAGGAGGTCAAGTCAGGGTGTGTGGAGGCACAGGCAAGCACGGGTAGAGGGCGCCCCCACTTCTGCCTCCGCTGCTGGAAGAGGTGCAGGAGAGCCCAG